AACAACCGCCACCAGCGCAAGAGGAAGACCACTAAGATGCTGGTGATGGTGGTGGTGGTGTTCGCAGTGAGCTGGCTGCCTCTCCACGCCTTCCAGCTGGCCATTGACATTGACAACAGTGTCTTGGACATGAAAGACTTCAAGCTGCTTTTCACCATGTTCCACATCGTGGCCATGTGCTCGACGTTCGTCAACCCCATCCTCTATGGGTGGATGAACAACAACTACCGGACTGCATTTCTGTCTGTGTGTAAGTGCAGCCAACCTGTCAGTTCTGGGTCGAGGAGAAAGACACTGAGGGAAAAAGACATGAGCGATACAGATTTCAAAGCGACTAAAGTCTGAATTCATAATATCAACTGAAATGTGAAATGGCTGTTCTGTGCAATCAACCGTAAGGGTGAATTATGGGTAAAACATTCCGCTTTTTTACATTAGATTAGAGTCAAAGGGTTCAGTGAAGAACCAAGTGTGTTCAAAATGTGTAAATGATCCATTTCATGCAAGTGCCAAAATGTATTGCTGAATTGTGCCATTGATATTTAAGAGCTTATGAAACTGCTGTTTAAAACTTGTTGTTTTGATATGCTTCTTACAACTGGACTATTTTGTTGACATTTAAATGCTGATCGTGGGACGAAAATGTTACATTGCCTTTGTGAATGCTACCATAGCAAATGATGTTGATCATTAATGATTCTGAGGCCTTATTTTGATAGATGTGCTTTAATCACAAGCTGAGGTGTAAAACAACACATTAGTTCAGAAGGCAGGTTGTCATTTATTGACAACTAATAGTTGCAAACTCAGCATGTAATGATATAAACTGACTAATCGATTTAATCAAGCTTTGTGTCAGTGCTGACATTTCCAAATTCCATGCATGGTAGAGTTTGGATAGATGGACCTAACTAGAGCTATGGATACTGTAGGGCATGAGTGTACAAAACATTAGGAACAGCTGCTCTTTCCATGACAGACTGACCAGGTGAATCCAGGTGAAAGCTATGATCCCTCATTGATGTCACTTGTTAAATCCACTTCAAATCAGTGTAGATGAAGGGGAGAAGACAGGTTCAAGAAGGATTTTTAAGCCTTGGGACAATTGAGACATGGATTGTGTATGTGTCCCATTCAGAGGGTGAATGGGCAAGATAAAACATTTAAGTGCCTTTGATCGAGTTATGGTAGTAGGTGCCAGGCGCACCGGTTTGGTCAAGAACTGCAACGCTGCTGGGTTTTTCACACTCAACAGTTTCCCGTGTGTATCAACAATGGTCCACCACCCAAAGGACATCCAGCCAACTTGACACAACTGTGGGAAGCATTGGAGTCAACGTGGACCAGCATCCCTGTGGAACGCGTTCAACACCTGGTAGAGTCCATGCCCCGACAAATTGAAACTGTTCTGAGGGCAAAAGGGGGTGCAACTCAATATTAGGAAGGTGTTCCTAATGTTTTGTACACTCAGTGTATATTGCATCTCTGGCGCAAACTATTATATGTACGCTATATTATTAGACTGTCCACGAGAGATCCGGAACCCCTCCTTCGCCTTTGGTTGCAGCAAACAGTCTAATTACCGCTAGTGTATGTCCTCACTATATTTCTGGATCATTTAAGAGGCTGCCCCTTCTTCCTGTTGCTTAGTCCATCACCATTGTTGTGTGGAGGGGATCGGTTCAATGCCTCTGTTTATAGTAACCCATTCGTGGGCCATTCAGCACGTAAGCCAATAATGGTTTATCAGGCCGTCGAAAGTTATTGACCTGCGGCTTACAGAGAGCGGACCCGGGGGAGCTGCACCCCGTTCTAAATCAAGTCTGAAGGATATGAGCAATGGGGTTTAAGACATATGTCATTTTCCTTTTGATACGGTCTGTGTTCACTACGGAATTACATTAGGACACAAGCACTGAAGTTGATGACTTACCGCTCGGTTTTCCATCCATCTAACATTTTGAAGTCAAAGCCTATGAATCCATCGACAGAATGGGAGTTATAGGCTAGTATGAGCATTTGTAAAACAGCATCAGTATTAAATGCCCATATGACATTTTCTCATGACAGATATACATTACATTATTATTCAATGACGTCACATGCTGACTGCAGCAATGAAATAGCTGTATCAGTTACATCAGTGAGGTATCAGTGAGAGAATTAATGTCAAGATGTCAAAAATATGTTTCCGGGACACATCAAAGAAATATGTATTGATTCTGTCAAACGATGGGGTTCTTACTTTGTGAAATTACTAAATAGACCAAAGTTGGCACAAGTAGCTAAAGATAAGTGGCCTGAAGACGACAACGCAATACAACTGTCTTTCTGCCAGACAGATGGGTAACGGACAAGAATGAAAGCCTCAAGACATGATGAGATGTGAGTCATATAGTCCCACAATGCCCTCCACTGATTGGCATGGTATGGCTAACGGGGTATACAGAGGGACAATGTGTTCATCTGCCATCTGTGTAACCATAAGGAGTCAAAAGGGGTCACACTTTATTTGGATAGTCCAGATAGTCCGTCTGTAGAATCTCTGCAGATCATTTTAGTATCAACAAACTATCTGTTGATAAGCAACTGCTTGCTAGGGCTACGGTTAGGGTAAGGGTTAAGTTTAGGGTTAGGATAAGGGTTAAGGTTAGGGTTAGTAGATAGTTAGTTGAAATGTTACTGACAGTCTTTTTTAATTTTTTTATTTCACCTTTATTTAACCAGGTAAGCCAGTTGAGATCAAGTTCTCATTTACAACTGCGACCTCGCCAAGATAAAGCAAAGCAGTGCGATAAAAACAACAACAACACAGAGTTACATATGGAGTAAAACAAAACATAAAGTCAAAAATACAACAGAAAATCTATATACAGTGTGTGCAAATGTAGTAAGTTATGGAGGTAAGGCAATAAATATGCCATAGTACAAAATAATGACAATTTAGTATTAACACTGGAGTGATAGATGTGCAGAAGATGATGTGCAAATAGAGATACTGGGGTGCAAATGAGCAAAATAAATAACAATATGGGGATGAGGTAGTTGGGTGGGCTAATTACAGATGGGCTGTGTACAGGTGCAGTGATCGGTAAGCTGCTCTGACAACTGATGCTTAAAGTTAGTGAGGGAGATAAGGGTCTCCAGCTTCAGAGATTTTTGCAGTTTGTTCCAGTCATTGGCAGCAGAGAACTGGAAGGAATGGCGGCCAAAGGAGGTGTTGGCTTTGGGGATGACCAGTGAGATATACCTGCTGGAGCGCATACTACGGATGGGTGTTGCTATGGTGACCAATGAGCTAAGATAAGGTGGGGATTTGCCAAGCAGTGATTTATAGATGACCTGGAGCCAGTGGGTTTGGTGACGAATATGTAGTGAGGGCCAGCCAACGAGAGCGTACAGGTTACAAGGGTGGGTAGTATATGGGGCTTTGGTGACAAAAACGGATGGCACTGTGATAGACTACATCCAATTTGCTGAGTAGAGTGTTGGAGGCTATTTTGTAAATGACATCGCCGAAGTCAAGGATCGGTAGGATAGTCCGTTTTACGAGGGCATGTTTGGCAGCATGAGTGAAGGAGGCTTTGTTGCGAAATAGGAAGCTGATTCTAGATGTAACTTTGGATTGGAGATGCTTAATGTGAGTCTGGAAGGAGAGTTTACGGTCTAACCAGACACCTAGGTATTTGTAGTTGTCCACATATTGTAAGTCAGACCCGCCGAGAGTAATGATTCTAGTCGGGCGGGCGGGTGCAAGCAGCGTTCGATTGAAGAGCATGCATTTAGTTTTACTAGCGTTTAAGAGCAGTTGGAGGCTACGGAAGGAGTGTTGTATGGCATTGAAGCTCGTTTGGAGGTGTGTTAACACAGTGTCCAATGAAGGGCCAGATGTATACAAAATGGTGTCGTCTGCGTATAGGTGGATCTGAGAGTCACCAGCAGCAAGAGCGACATCATTGACATACACAGAGAAAATTGAACCCTGTGGCACCCCCATAGAGACTGCCAGAGGTCCAGACAACAGGCCCTCCGATTTGACACATTGAACTCTATCTGAGAAGTAGTTGGTGAACCAGGCGAGGCAGTCATTTGAGAAACCAAAGCTATTTAGTCTGCCAATAAGAATGCGGTGATTGACAGAGTCGAAAGCCTTGGCCAGGTCGATGAAGACTGCTGCACAGTACTGTCTTTTTTCGATCACGGTTATAATATCGTTTAGGACCTTGAGTGTGGCTGAGGTGCACCCCCATGACCAGCTCGGAAACCAGATTGCATAGCGGAGAAGGTACGGTGGGATTCGAAATGGTCGGTGATCAGTTTGTTAACTTAGTCTGTAAATAGTCCATCTGTAGATGCTCTACTGACTATCCAAATAAAGTGTTTACTCAAAGGGTGGGTTTCCATCTGACTTAATGGTTCTTTGGGTGCAAAATAGCAAACACTATAATGCTAGGCCTGACTATAAACAAGGGAATCAAACGTAAAACCTCACCAACTGGATTGTAATGCCCAGTGCATGTTTATTACACGTGTTAGTATGAATGGTGCATACATACTACCAACATAAACTGGGATGACCCCTTAAATGTTTGGTTAAACCTTTTTGTTGTTGAGGTCCAATAGATCCTAATAGAGGTGGATCATGAATGATACAACAGCTCCCCCTGCTGTCCAAATATATCCTTACCTTCTCTAAATGAAAGTACATGGGGCATGTGCTGCACAACAGCCACACATAGGGCCGGGATGACAAAAAACATCATAAATGATAACACTGACAAAATATTTTGAAAAGCATAATATAATCAGGGAATTCAAATCTATACAGTGCATATGGTACATGACTTTGTGAAGGGCATATTGTTGGTAAAGTGGTGCAGAGAGCTCTACGGTAGGCTACAGTATGTTTGACCCATCCTGACCCCTCTGTCACACAGGACATGGTATGGGAGGTAGAGGTCAACATCCAGTCTGCCTGGCCCACTGATCCAGCTACAGCCTCATTCATTCTGATTGATGATGTTTTTGTACCTCTGGGCTCTCTGCTCCTCCTCCTCGAAACGCTTCCTTATCTGGTCAATTGCCTCTCCGCCTACACAGTCCAAAGAAGAGAGAAGAAGTGACAAGAAGAGAGAAGAAGAAGAAAGAAGAAGAGAGAAGAGAGAAGAAGAGAGAAGAAGAGTAATTCAAGACTCAAGCTCCAGGACGACTAGTGGTGATGTCTCTACTTTTACCATTTTCATCTTCTAAATATATTTAATAATCTTATACAATCGATACAGTAGCTAGATGTTCAACCATTCATTTGCATTCTGAATTACCTTGAATGAAAATGAATAACCTATTCAATGAACCTGAATTAAATGACAAACTGTAAAAATGCACTCTTTTGAATCTTACCTACTGGGCCATCCAGCATTTCTCTGGTAATAGGGCTGCTGTTCAGAGGCTGCCTTGGACTCTCTTGCTGCCTGGCTGCACCATCAATACCATCAGTCACCTCATGTGACCCTGCTAATATCCTGGTACTGGCGACGGGGCTCCTCTTTCTCAGCTGCAGTGAAAGGCTGCTGCTGAGCTCGATGTACTCCTGGTGGAGCTGCCGCACCTCCAGCTGTAGCAGGTCTTTCTCCTTCTGCACCGTGAGCAGGCAGCTTTCCAATATGGCCTGCTCTTCCCTCAGCTGCTTGGCTCCGCCCTCTGCCTCCTCGCCCCTCTTGACGCTCTGTTTGAGGTTCTCTCGTAGTGTCTTGTTCTCCTCTTTGAGATGGGCCACGGCGCCCGACATGGCCTTGCGCTCTTTTCCCACGCTGTCCAGGATGCGTTCGGCCGGGTGTTTGCTGCCCGACGAGGCCGGAGGGCTGCCGTCCCTAGTCGTGCTCCCCTCAAGGGAGCTTCTCCCCCTGGCCCCCAGCCGATGGAGCTCGGCCCAGCTCATATCCAGCTCGTTCGTGAGGCGGCTGACCTCACTTGCCAGCGAGGCCATCCGGTCCTCCAGTTGCCCCTTCTCCTGGGTGAGCTGGGTGCAGCGAACATTGGCCCTCTCCAGTTGAACCCGCACCCTGTTGTCACCACCACCTTTGGGCTCCAGAGCCAGGCTGGGATCCCTGGATCTCTCCCCTGCCTGGCTCTCAGCCTCAAGAGCGTCGACAAGTCTGCGGTTCTCCGCGGCCATGTGCTTGTTGCGCTTATCCACGGTTTTATTCAAGGCTTTAAGGTCCTCGTACTTTGGGAGGATCCTCTTGAGCTTGCAGACGCACTCCTTGCAGTAGTCCTCCATCTTCCGCAGCTTCCTCTGCAAGTCCTGTTTCTCCTTCTCCAAGTTAACACACCGGTCCTCCAAGGATAGGCTCTCCATTTTGATCCTCTCTCTCATCCTAGTCTCCTCTATCTTGGATGGTGTATCTTGCCTCTGACTTTCTGGGTATGTTTTGGCCATGTTGAAAGTGGCAGGGTGGGTATTGAGTTTGGAGGTGGGACTGTGAGTGTGACCACCAGCCATTTCCTGTGAATTGTTGCCACTTGTTGATCCTGAGACATTGTGATTGGTCAAAGATGGGCTGTCTTCCGCCTTGCTTTCTCTTATCTTCTTGTTGAGGCTCAGGTTGTCCTCCTCCAGTGACACCAGAGCGTTTTTCAGTCTGTCCACAGTATTCTCCAAATCGACTATCATCTCAGATTTGTAGTCTGTCCCGAGAGCTCGGTCTCCTGAGCCACTACGTCTTGGGGAGCAATCAGAGTCGAACGCCCTCTGTGAATGCCTGTAGGATGCTCTACGCGTCCCTGATTCATTTGTTTCTTTCATCACTGAAACAATGTTAAACTTTTCTGAAGATATCCCTGATTTGCTGTTACAACTATGAAGAAGAGGCTGCGTTTTCTCCATGTGCTGTGAAACTGGTGTGGTCCACTCAACCTGAAATTAGTGCAAGGAATGAGTGAGAGCAGGGTTGCGTTCATTTAACCATGACCCATGGGGTCAATGTTACAATATTCTCGTGGGTTTAACACAGATTTTCACATACATATTCAGCAGCCATTCTTTATTAGCCTACTCTCCAACAAGTAGGCCTAGCATATGGAACACGTGAAGTCTTTCATCATGAAAGGCTATATTCTTTATAACTATCATCAAACAATGTCATTACATAAAAATGCCTAGTTTAAATGCAGAACATGATATGTCCTCATTATTAACATTCAACCTTGTTGCCTTCTCTTGGAGACAGAGGGGCCTCAGGTGTGCAGGAGCTTCGTCTTCTCATGTTGATGCTGTTCTCTGGGGATATAGCTAACGTTAGTTGGCAGTACATTCGGTCCCTGAACAGGAATGGGCCTAATATTACACCCACTGACAGGAACCGAAAACATTATGAGCAGGGCTTAAATGCAATTTAGTTTAGGATAGTTCAGCTAATGTTACAGCTAGACCTCTCATTTCAAGACTATCAACATTTCTGGCCTAAAAAGCCAGCTACAAGGCGACTGTAGATAGCTAACGTAGCTAAAGTTAGCTAACTAAATAACTAGCTAGCTACTGTAGCTAGCCAAAGCCAGGCGTTGCTGGCTAGCTAATTAGCTGTTACAGTAAAACATGGTCTAAATGTAAATAAATCATAACTTACCCTCTGCAGAAACTCAGTTTGCTTGTAGCTACATGACACGTTCAAAATGCTAATTAATAATCGTAGCTCATTTGTTTCAAGATTTGCTAAAATTCGTGCTCACGCCAATCAGCGCGCAATGTTACCATGGTAACCGAAATTCTGATTTCCCTCAAATTCTAGCTAAATTCTGATTGGATGTGTTCATCAATAGTTCTTTCACATAGCATTTTTACACACCTTTGAGACTGAACCTTTTGCCATTTTAACAAGTCATGTCTTATCTATAAAAATATCTGTATGCTTCAAGTGAGATCTTGTTCTATAGTAGGCTTATTAAATACCTATTTACAACGTTTCATGGACAACTGGGCTGTTGTATATACCATGTTGAAATACAGACTCTTGCCAAGGTTCCCTTTTCCTATTACAGTTATAGCCAACAGGATCAACTTACCTGTGATCTCACCCTGTCAAATGTCAATGATGTTTTGCCCCACTGAGAAAACATCTGGCATCATCTAGAAAAAGAGGGATGTGACACTTGAGCCCAGCTAAATGTGTGGAAACTGAAAAGTGACCTACAAAAGTCACACAAAATACAGTATTCAGAGAAAGAAAATGTATCAGTGTCTGATTCACTGGGCCGATGGGCTGAGTGTATTAAGCTGGTGTCTTTGGGGTGCTAATTGGAGCCAGGCCCGGTTTTATAGGCCTCTCACAACTGGTGGAGGGATATAGGCTATATCACTGTCAACTTACCTCTTAACATAACACCTCTCTGAGTTAACGTTTTGAAAAGAGCACGCAAAACAAAATGTAATTGACTGTTATTGTGGTCTAATTTACACATCCAGGACCAACATGTCTTTTCAGACTACTACTTCATATCCATTCATTTATTCACCCACACAGTTGTTGGGATGGCCACTGAACACTAGGGGAAAACATAGTCTCTTCGGGATAACGGTTCAAATAATGTAGGTGAGCAACATGAATTAGATTCACTTCACTTCAGCAACATGACTCCTTACAATCTCACAATGATCTGCTCATGCACATAGTAGTTGTATGACAAGCTCAACCAATAGAAGACATGTCATTTTTTTATCTCACTAGTTTTTGTCTAATCACAGCTGTCCTTCCTCACGTTCATCCCTTTTAGCTGTCACCCAAACACTTGCTGACCTTACAGCTCATTCCCTGAGGCTCACCGTATGGCCGGACGCCAAATCCCAGGTCGTAAACAGACAGTAACCTTTCTGCCCACCGTGACAACCCGTGAGGAAGCACAGCTGACCCGGGGAAGGTGAAATATTCACAGCTCCTCGCCGTTCCCCCCTTGAGAGGCTCTCAGTGCCCTCTGTGACACTGTGACGTGCCAGCACTTCATCTAGTGTGTCCGCCTGCCTTTCAGTCTGTCAGTCACCCAGCCAGCCAGTCAGCCAGCCAGTCAGCCAGCCAGTCAGCCAGCCAGTCAGTCACCCAGTCAGTCAGTCACCCAGTCAGTCAGCCAGTCAGCCAACCAGTCAGCCAGCCAGCCAGTCAGTCAGCCAGTCAGCCAGTTAGCCAGCCAGCCAGCCAGTCAGTCAGCCAGCCAGCCAACCAGCCAGTCAGTCAGCCAGTTAGTCAGCCAGTTAGTCAGCCAGTCAGCCAGCCAGCCAGTCAGTCAGTCAGCCAGTCAGCCAGCCAGCCAGCTCAGGAAAGGGATGAAGAGAAAGACAATATGAATCATTTCCACAACATGGAGTCAAAACCCCCTTTATTTGAAGGAAGAGAGTAGTATACATGTAAGTGTATTCACAAACAAATGCACTCTCAGGATTTGTGCAAAACAGAGCATACAGACAATAGAACACAGGAGAACACAGATACAAACCGTTACAATCAATGGTGCCTCACTGGCAGACAGAGTTTTTAGGATGGTGCGTGTGTTTGTGTGTGTGCGTGTGAGGAGGGTCCTATGCTGAGGGGAAAGCGGTGACAAGGTCATGGCCCTCCGGGGGTCTCGTCCGGGCTCGAGCGTGGGTCTCACAGTACAGTTGGCCCTCCACGAAGAAGTAGCCCTTCTGTTTAAGGTTGACGTCACAGTCGGTGCACACGAAGCAGCCAGGGTGGCGGAACTTGTCCCTCGCCTTCACCACTGTGCCCCTATAGAAGAACAACAGAGTTAACAACAGGAGTAGGCTGAAGTTACCACTGACGCTGAGCACTAATGGTTAGGGTTAGGATTGGGGGAAGGGAAGCTGGAGCAGGGTTGCCAGATTTCAAAAGTACATAAATGATTTGGAAGAGTTCTGCCTCCCTGATCTAACCACTCAAAGTACACTGAGTATACCAAACATTAGGAACACCTTCCTAATATTGAGATATAGAAATATCAGATTTACTGTATATTAATACTTAAAAGATGAGAGAGGCCTGTAATGTTCATCATAGGTACACGTCAACTATGACAGACAAAATGAGAAAAAAAAATCCAGAAAATCACATTGTAGGATTTTTAATGAATTTATTTGCAAATTATGATGGAAAATAAGTATTTGGTCAATAACAAAAGTTTCTCAATACTTTGTTATATACCCTTTGTTGGCAATGACACAGGTCAAACGTTTTCTGTAAGTCTTCACAAGGTTTTCACACACTATTGCTGGTATTTTGGCCCATTCCTCCATGCAGATCTCCTCTAGAGCAGTGATGTTTTGGGGCTGTCGCTGGGCAACACGGACTTTCAACTCCCTCCAAAGATTTTCTATGGGGTTGAAATCTGGAGACTGGCTAGGCCACTCCAGGACCTTGAAATGCTTCTTACAAAGCCACTCCTTCGTTGCCCGGGCGGTGTGTTTGGGATCATTGTCATGCTGAAAGACCCAGCCACGTTTCATATTCAATGCCCTTGCTGATGGAAGGAGGTTTTCACTCAAAATCTCACGATACATGGCCCAATTCATTCTTTCCTTTACACGGATCAGTCGTCCTGGTCCCTTTGCAGAAAAACAGCCCCAAAGCATGATGTTTCCACCCCTATGCTTCACAGTAGGTATGGTGTTCTTTGGATGCAACTCAGCATTCTTTGTCCTCCAAACACGACGAGTTGAGTTTTTACCAAAAAGTTCTATTTTGGTTTCATCTGACCATATGACATTCTCCCAATCCTCTTCTGGATCATCCAAATGCACTCTAGCAAACTTCAGACGGGCCTGGACATGTACTGGCTTAAGCAGGGGGACACATCTGGCACTGCAGGATTTGAGTCCCTGGCGGTGTAGTGTGTTACTGATGGTAGGCTTTGTTACTTTGGTCCCAGCTCTCTGCAGGTCATTCACTAGGTCCCCCCGTGTGGTTGTGGGATTTTTGCTCACCGTTCTTGTGATCATTTTGACCCCACGGGGTGAGATCTTGCGTAATATCAGATTTACTGTATATTAATATTAGAAAGTACAACCTCAAATTCCAACTTCCCCTTTAAAGGACCAGTGCAGTTAAAAATGTGACTTTCCTGTGTTTTATATACATTGTCACACTATGAGGTTGGAATCATACTGTAAAATTGTGAACATTATGTTAATGCCCTTTGTGTAAGTGTAAGTAAGAGCTGTTTAAAAAGACTGCCTGAAATTTCAGCCTGTTTTAGTGGGATGAGTTTTGGCCTGGTTTTTGGCTAGTGACATCACCAATAACAGAGTTCCAAACCTCTCTGCCAATAACAGCTAGTGTTCAGTTTTCCCCTCCCCACTCAGACCACTCCCAGACAGTCCTAACAAAATGATTGCTTGAGAAATTGCTCTTTGCTAAGAAGAGTTTATTTTGACTATTTTAATTGAAAACAATCACAGTTAGGTACTTAATTGTTACCCAGAAATGATTTGATAATGAGATAAAAATGGCTGCTTTGGACCTTTAAGGGGCGACTAGTTTTTGGCAGAACTTTTTAGGTGTAGGTGCAACTCTTCTGTCCTGGGTACCAGTTTGTTTCTGCTATCATTATACTCCTTGCCACTCCTTGTCTGACCAAACACTGATGATTAACACAACTAAGAAAACTCTCTGTAGAAGAAAGAGACTGTTTGGCAACACAGGAGGTTGGTGGCACCTTAACTGGGGAGGACGGGCTCGTGGTAATGGCTGGAGCAGAATAAGAGGAATGGTATCAAAAACATCAAACATGTTTAATGCCATCCATTCGCTCCTTTCCCACCATTATTATGAGCCGTCCTCCCCTCAGCAGCCTCCTGTGTTTGGCAATGACACAGGGTAAAAGGAGTGGAACTTTATCTCAAAACAGGTTCTGGATTTCAGGCTATAACTCTTCTTATTATAATTAGTATTGAATGAAATGGGTGCAACTAAATACCAACTATTCTCAGAGCAGCTTTGTCTTCGAAGTACTCACACAATGCCGTTTCCACACTTGTCACACATGGGTAGTTTCTGCAGGTTTCCTGTGGATGGCGGTGGCTTTGTCATGGGCGCCCTCACTGTCCTCGTCACCATGGGGCGAGTGCCTGGACAACACATGGGACACACACTATTGGTAACCTATTCCCTATACAGTGCACTACTTCAAGCTGGTCAATACATAGGGAATGGGTTACCATTTGTGACAGAGAATGCAAGTCACAAACAAATGATAAAAATTAGGAGCATACTGTACATTAAGTATATTTAATGATTTTAATATTGAAATACAAAAAGGGAGCAGAGAGTTAGAGACATACAGTGCATTCGGAAAGTATTCAGACCCCTTGACTTTTTCCACATTTTGTTACGTTACAGCCTTATTCTAAAATGGATTAAATAAAAAAAATGTCCTCATCAACCTACACACAATACCCCATAATGACAAAGCGAAAAGAGAAATACCTTATTTACATAAGTATTCAGAACCTTTGCTATGAGACTCGAAATTGAGCTCAGGTGCATCCTGTTTCCATTGATCATCCTTGAGATGTTTCTACAACTTGATTGGAGTCCACCTGTGGTAAATTCAATTGATTAGACATGATTTGGAAAGGCACCCACCTGTCTATATAAGGTCCCACAGTTGACAGTGCATGTCAGAGTGAAAACCAAGCCATGAGGTCGAAGGAATTGTCCGTAGAGCTCAGAGACAGGATTGTGTCGAGGCACAGATCTGGGGAAGGGTACCAAAACATTTCTGCAGCATTGAAGGTCCCCAAGAACACAGTGGCCTCCATCATTCTCAAATGGAAGAGGTTTGGAATCACCAAGACTCTTCCTAGAGCTGGCCGCCCGGCCAAACTGAGCAATCGGGGGAGAAGGGCCTTGGTCAGGGAGGTGACCAAGAACCCGATGGTCACTCTGACAGAGCTCCAGAGTTCCTCTGTGGAGATGGGAGAACCTTCCAGAAGGACAACCATCTCTGCAGCACTCCACCAATCAGGCCTTTATGGTAGAGTGGCCAGACGGAAGCCATTCCTCAATAAAAGGCACATGACAGCCCAATTGGAGTTAGCCAAAAAGCACCTAAAGGCTCTCAGACCATGAGAAACAAGATTCTCTGGTTTGATGAAACCAAGGTTTAACTCTTTGGCCTGAATGCCAAGCGTCACGTCTGGAGGAAACCTGGCACCATCCCTACGGTGAAGCATGGTGGTGGCAGCATCATGCTGTGGGGATGTTTTTCAGTGGCAGGGACTGGGAGACTAGTCAGGATCGAGGGAAAGATGAACAGAGCAAAGTACAGAGAGATCCTTGATGAAAACCTGCTCCAGAGCGCTCAGGACCTCAGACTGGGGCGAAGGTTCACCTTCCAACAGGACAACGACCCTAAGCACAAAGCCAAGACAACGCAGGAGTGGCTTCGGGACAAGTCTCTGAATGTCCTTGAGTGGCCCAGCCAGAGCCCGGACTTGAAACCGATCAACATCTCTGGAAATAGCTGTGTAGCGACGCTCCCCATTCAACCTGACAGAGCTTGAGAGGATCTGCAGAGAAGAATGGGAGAAACTCCCCAAATACAGGTGTGCCAAGCTTGTAGCGTCATACCCAAGAAGACAGGAGGCTGTAATCGCTTCCAAAGGTGCTTCGACAAAGTACTGAGTAAAGGGTCTGAATACTTATGTAAATGTGATATTTCAGTTTTTTATTTTTAATACATTTGCAAACATTTCTAAAAACCTGTTTTTGCTTTGTCATTATGGGCTATTGTGTGTAAATTGATGAGAATAAGCTTGTTTTACACCAATGTTCGTAAACAAAGTAAATGTAAACAAACACTACATAGCCTCAAAACATGGTTAAAACTATAGTTTTGATATCATGGATGGTCAGTCCTTGCATCCATAGCTCTGTTTATGAATTTGAAAGTGACTACATTTCTCCAGCCCAATATCCCTCAGCTTTTTACTGAAACAGGGGCAGGGAGAACGCTTTGTTATTGTTTCAACAGCTGATTTCCACTTTAAAAGGAGGGAATTCAATGTGCATTATACAAAACTAAATGAAAACAAAATTAAACTATAAGTGTATTCCAGTGGTGGCTGGTGTGCGGATAAAACGGGTTCATTCCATTCTGGACATTATGATGAGCCCGACCTCCTATATCTCAGCCCACCAGCCTCCTCTGACGTATTCAAATGAAGAGCTATTGGAAAATGTCTCAACCAAAGAACCACTTTTAGAGGTCATGGACGACACTATATCCCTTATCTTTTGCCATGTGTTCACAGGCATAACAGATGGGTTGAATGAACTCTTTGTAGCGTTTCACCAGGTGAGGTGTGGCCTTGAGGTACCGCCTCCACATGAAATAGCACATGTATGCATCATCGTTCTTGTCCAATCGGAGGAGGAAGTCATTGATATGAATAAAGGAATCCGCAGGGAGAAAGTCTTCGTAGCAGTGTTGCCAATTTAGCGACTTTGTCGCTATATTTCGCGAATATTCATACCCCTCTAGCGACACATTTTCCAAAAATAGACTAGCGACAAATCTAGCGACTTTTTCTGGTGTTATTGGAGACTTTTGGAGACTCTGACGTGAAAGCACGTATCGTTCTTACTCTTCTCAACGAGCAGCGGGTGCTGCCGTGGGCCCCACCCGGGCCCCACCCCCGTCCCAAAGCACTCACAGGCGGCCCAGTCCTCGCGCAGCAGTCCCTCCCAGCTGCAGTCAGAGCAGGATATGTTCACCCCTCCGCCTCCAGACTGCAAATGAATCGCGCATGCGGGAAGCCGCCGCTGGCTGATGTAAATGTAAAATGTTCTTTGTCTAAAATAAATCACTGCACAAAAATAAATCACTGCATTTGACTCACACGGCCTCAGTCACTTACTCACCTCGTCCACTGTGTGTGTGCCTCTCTGTGACATAAGCTAAATACCTAGCTGGCTAGCTCATCATGTCTCAGTCTAAACTGTACACTCAAAAATACAGAAAGGAGTGGGAATCAAACCCTGATTTCAAAGGCTGGTTGAAGCCGTTTATTGGAGATGATACACGGGCATACTGCCTGTATTGTAAGGCTGATTTCTACGCCAAACTTAGTGATGTAAAAAAACACATGACAACTCAAAAACATACTCAAAAGGCAAAGCCTTATAACAGTTCCACACAAAACAAGCTGCCATTTCTGGTTAAAAAATTTGAGACTGCAAAAAAGGCTGAGGCCACCATGGCATTAGCTATCGCTGAACACTGTTCCATGCTGGCATGTGATCACATTGGAGAAGCATGTAGAGCTGCTTTCTCAGACTCCACTGCTGCTACCCACTTCAAAATGCACAGGACAAAGTGCACAGAAATTATTAATGGTGTTCTAGCACCATACTGAAAAAGTTGGTCACAGATGTGGGTGACTAGCGTTTCAGCTTCCTCCTCGATGAGTCCACGGATGTAAGTGTTTCTAAGTACCTGGGGGTTGTGATAAGGTACTTTAGTGACACCAAGCAGACAATTGTAACAACATTTCTGGGGCTTGTTGAGTTGGAGGGAGGAGATGCCAAATCTATAGCCCGTGCTGTTGTGGCTTTCCTCGAGAAGTGTTGTCTTAAAAAAGAGAAACTCCTGGGGATATGGACTGACAATGCCTCTGTTATTACAGGGATTAACAATGGGGTCCATAAAGTGCTGAAGGAGGAGTATGGCCTCAAAGATCTGGTTCTTATTCGCTGTGTGTGCCACTCTCTGCAGCTTGCTGTAAGTCATGCTTCCAATGACACCATCCCCCGTAGTGTGGAGTATTTGGTACGAGAGACTTATAACTGGTTTTCAGTGTCTCCAAAGCGCAGGGAGGCCTACAAGGCCATATATGAGACCATCAACTGTGGGGAGAAACCTTTACAGATAACCAAGGTGTGTGCCACACATTGGCTCTCCATTGAACCCGCGGTTTCACGCATTTTGGACCAGTGGGAGGAGCTTAGGCTGCATTTTTACAGAGTTACAGTTCATATAAGGAAATCAGTCAATTGAAATGAATTCATTAGGCCCTAATCTATGGATTTCACATGACTGGGAATACAGATATGCATCTGGTGGTCACAGATACCCCCCAGAAAATGGGCCTCACAATGGGCCTCAGGATCTCGTCACAGTATTTTTGTGCATTCAAATTGCCATCGATAAAATGCAAATGTGTTCGTTGTCCATAGCCTATGCCTGCCCATACCATAACCCCACCGCCACCATGGGGCACTCTATTCACAATGTTGACATCAGCAAACCGCTCGCCCATACAACACCATACACGTGGTCTGCGGTTGTGAGGCCGGTTGGACATACTGCCAAATTCTCTAAAACGATGTTGGAGGTGGCTTATGGTAGAGAAATTAACATTCAATTATCTGGCAACAGCTCTGGTGGACATTCCTGCAGTCAGCATGCCAATTGCACGCTACCTCAAAACTGGAGACATCTGTGGCATTGTCTTGTGCGACAAAACTGCACATTTTAGAGTGGCCTTTTTATTATCCCCAGCACAAGGTGGACCTGTGTAATGATCATGCTGTTTAATCAGCTTCTTGATATGCCACACCTGTCAGGTGGATGGATTATCATGGCAATGCCCACTAACAGGAATGTAAACAAATTTGTGCACAGAATTGGAGAGAAATAAGCTTTTTGTGCTTATGTAACATTTCTGGGATCTTTTATTTCAGCTCATGAAACATGGGACCAACACTTTACATGTTGCGTTTATATTTTTGTTCAGTGTACACAGGCCTTATATAGCATTTTCCAAAACCCAAAGATGCTTTACAATAAGCAACAAGTAAAGATATCAAACCTGGGTCATCAGGACCACTCAAGGTGACCATGTTAGCCTGTTGAACCAAAGCATAGACATGTAATCTCTTCACTACTAATTCATTTGTATACGGTTTACTCCTTGTGTACCCACTTTTCAAGATCAGAACAATTTGTATTCTAAACGATCTCCCGTTACCTCGTCTTATAAAATGAATGCCCAATAAAATACTGATTTCAAGTGATATCTTCATTTTGATTGTGGCTCTTTCCAATAGTTTTTTTGGGGGGGGTTAAAATACATGCGATGTTGGTAGCTAGAGGTTTTAATTAAACTATAGGTCCTGAAGTGAGGGAGTGGGAGAGAGCTAACCCACGCTGACGACGGCTTGAACACCGGCAGCTTTGTCCTCGATATGTCTCATTAAGAAATAATATATTATTATATGCAACCGTGAAGCTCTTCTTGAGTGTGGAACTGCAGCATTATGGCCTGGAATGCACAATGAATGATGACATCATTACCCACCCATATAATAATGAGAGAGAAGTTACTTAGTGGAGAACTGACCATCACTGTCGACAAAGTCCTGCAGGGCCTTGAAGGAACCTGATTGCCGGGGCTCCTGGGGCTCCTCCTGGTCTTTCAGCAGCATGCGGTATACGTCAGACTCCTCGATGGAGCTCAGCGTCTTGCTACTGCAGAGGGGGAGACACACACACACAGTCTTGCGCAGCTAACCTTGTGGGGACATACAATTCAGTCCCATTCAAAATCCAATTTTTCCTCCCTAAACCTAACCCGTACCCTTACCCTAACCTTAATCCAAAAACCTAACCTTAACCCTAACCCTAGCTCCTAACCCTAACCCCATCTCCTAACCCTAAACCTAATTCTAACACTAATTCTAACCCTAACACTAAACCCCCTAGAAATAGCATTTGACGTTGTGGGGACCAACAAAATGTCCCCAGTTGGTCAAATTTTTCTTGGTTTACTATTCTTGTGGGGACTTCTGGTCCCCACAAGTATAGTTAAACACGTCCACACAGGTGAGCATACAACACACACACACACACACACACACAAACACACATAGAGATAAGCAAAAACACACAGAGGTGAGCATTAACAGATGCAGCACACACACACACACACTCACAAACACACACCCCACCGCCCGCACACACAAAAATATCCCACATTTTGTGGAGACGACTGCACCTGTTCTATCCAAGATCTGCAGCTACCATGGAAAGCACTGTTCATCTACCTCAGCAGACACCAGTGTAGTCATAACAACACTATCCTCCATATCAGATTTAACATCAGAGTCATATTGAGCCCTGGGGGTCCAGACCTCCCCAGCTCCAGGTTCAGGGACGGTCTTGTGAGTCATGGGGGGAAATGATGCCTGCCAGCTGGGGCACTCTCACTACAGGGCCCTGAGGCTTTTTGGTTATCGTAGGCCGCATCAGGTCAAAGGACATTACAGAGACCAGATCTGGGGTCAAATACTATTTGAAATAATTTCCAAATACTTTATCAGTACTTTATTGAGCTTGCCTGGCTTAATGGACCAATAAAATAGTCCCAAAATGGCAAATCCCACCCATGTGGTACTCCAGGCAGGCTAGAGCAAGCGCTCAAATTATTCAAAATATTTCAAATAGTATTTGAACCCAGGTCTGACAGACACACACATAACACAGGCATCAGCAGATGTCCATTAAAGGAAGTGAAGAGAGGGGAAAACAGAGAGGAAGAATGGATGGGAGGAGAATGGAGAGAATGGAGAGAGGAGGTTAGAGATGACATGGGGTGAAGAAGCATGAGTGTGCAGACATCTTTCGTATACACAACTCTTTTTATAGCCACCACCCATAGCCAGAACACCAAGTCATCTAATCAGAGTTTGCTGAAAGAGATCTACAGGCCTATAATACTACACATAGATTGAATATGATATATTTAAGCAATAAGTCCCGAGAAGGTGTGGTATATGGCCAATATACCACGGCTAGGGCTGTTCTTAAGCACGACACAACGCGGAGTGCCTGGATACAGCCCTTAGCCGTGGTATACTGGCCATGTACCACAAACCCCCGAGGTGCCTTATTGCTATTATAAACTGGTTACCAACGTAATTAGAGCAGTAAAAATAAATGTTGTGTCATACCATTGGTATACGGTCTGATATACTACGGCTGTCAGCCAATCAGCATTCAGGGCTCGAACCACCCAGTTTATAAATGTATATATACAACGAGTGTACAAAACATTAGGAACACCTTCCTAATATTGAGTTGCACCCCCTTTTTCCCATAGAGCAGCCTCAATTTGTCAGGGCATGGACTCTCCAAGGTGTTGAAAGAGTTCCACAGGGATGCTGGCCCATGTTGACTCCAATGAACCACTTTTAGAGTGATTGTGTGAAGTTGGCTGGAAGTCCTTTGGGTGGTGGACCATTCTTGATACACGCGGGAAACTGTTGCGCTTGAAAAACCCAGCACATTTGTTTGACGTTGAAAGAACGTGGACACAATGTTGATTCAACCAGTTTGTGCCCAGAGGACCTCACTATTACAAGCACTCAAACGTTTTTACTGAAACTTATCCTTTCTAGTTTCTACTGCATTACCTGATCAAATAGGAACAGTGCAGAGCTGCTGTACTGAACTGAACACTGTAGGCTAATGTGACCCTCGGCTAGCATGATTTATGTCTCTATCAGAAACAGCTCCTGCTTAAGCCAGGGAAAAAGTCATTCCTGCGTGCTTGGGTAATACACGCACCGTGGTGACACGCCATATATCTGCTAGCTAGGCTAATGAGATCCACATGACTTCCTGGGAACTGGATGACAGGGATACGAGACTCCCTGTATCCCCCTCTGACTTCCATACAGTCTCAACAAAGTGTCAAAAACCCAATATGTTATTTTTTATTTAAAGTACCATGATGTAACATTTAACATATGTTTTAGAACAGCGCTAGCCTACAGTAGACAAACTCTGGCAGAAACAAATGAACAGATGGGGGTGCCACAGGGTTCAATTCTTGGGCCGACTCTTTTCTCCGTGTATATCAATGATGTCGCTCTTGCTGCTGGTGACTCTCAGATCCACCTCTACGCAGACGACACCATTTTGTATACATCTGGCCCTTCATTGGACACTGTGTTAACAAACCTCCAAACGAGCTTCAATGCCATACAACACTCCTTCAGTAGCCTCCAACTGCTCTTAAACACTAGTAAAACTAAATGCATGCTCTTCAATCTAACGCTGCTGGCACCCGCCCACCCGACTAGAATCACTACTCTCGACGGGTCTGACCTAGAGTATGTGGACAACTACAAATACCTAGGTGTCTGGTTAGACTGTAAACTCTCCTTCCAGACTCACATTAAGTTAAATCTAGAATCGGCTTCCTATTTCGCAACAAAGCCTCCTTCACTCATGCTGCCGATCCTTGACTTCGGCGATGTCATTTACAAAATAGCCTCCAACACTCTACTCAGCAAATTGGATGTAGTCTATCACAGTGCCATCCGTTTTGTCACCAAAGCCCCATATACCACCCACCACTGTGACCTGTACGCTCTTGTTGGCTGGTCCTCACTACATATTCGTCGCAAAAAACCAACTGGCTCCAGGCCATCTATAAATCACTGCTAGGCAAATGCCCGCCTTATCTTAGCTCATTGGTCACCATAGCAACACCCACCCGTAGTATGCGCTCCAGCAGGTATATCTCACTGGTCATCCCCAAAGCCACCTCCTTTGGCCGCCATTCCTTCCAGTTCTCTGCTGCCAATGACTGGAACGAATTGCAAAAATCTCTGAAGCTGGAGACTCTTATCTCCCTCACTAACTTTAAGCATCAGTTGTCAGAGCAGTTTACCGATCACTGCACCTATACACAGCCCATCTGTAATTAGCCCACCCAACTACCTCATCCCCAAATCGTTATTTATTTTGCTCATTTGCACCCCAGTATCTCTATTTGCACATCATCTCTTGCACATCTATCATTCCAGTGTTAATACTAATTGTAATTATTTTGCACTATAGCCTATTTATTGCCTTACCTCCATAACTTGCTACATTTGCACACACTGTATATATATTTTCTGTTGTATTTTTGACTTTATGTTTTGTTTTACCCCATATGTAACTCTGTGTTGTTGTTTTTATCGCACTGCTTTGCTTTATCTTGGCCAGGTCGCAGTTGTAAATGAGAACTTGTTCTCAACTGGCTTACCTGGTTAAATAAAGGTGAAATAAAAAAAATAAAAAATAAAAATAAAAGATGCTATCAGAGAAGGAGACAGTGGAAGCTTATATAGCAATACTGATATTACCATGATGACAGAAAGCAGACAGACAGAAACCCACCCACCCAACCACCCACCCACCCAATCCATCCATCCACCCACCCACCAACCCACCCACCCAGCCAGCCAACTCACCCCTCTGGCTTGTCCTGGACCAGGCCCCTCATCTGTCCGTGCATGGCGTCCTGGATGTTGCCTGAGGAGTAGAGGCCTATGGGGGTGTTGTAGGCTGTGCTCACCACCTGGCGATGGTCGTCGATGTTAGCTGCAGCTATAAAGGGCTGGGCCTTGCGGTTGTGACCCGTACCAATGGGTTTGAACTCCTGAATGGAGAGATAGAGAGGAAAAGACAAGGAGGCCTTATGTGATGTTCTCTGACTTCTTTTTCTAGTTGGTAATTACTCACATGAACACCAACAGGTGTAGACACAAATGTATGTACACACAACTAAAACAAACAAATACACACGCATAGGCAAACACTCTCTCTCTCTCCCTCACTCCCCCTCTCCCTCCCTCTCACCTGCTGCTCAGACTCCAAGTTGATTTTGAACGGGTTGGCTTTCCCGTCTTCTGTGACTTGAGGCGACCATAGCCTGGTTTCTGGTCTGAGAACAAGAAACGGGTCATGATCAAACAGAGCTCACTGTCAACTCCCTCGACAGCAGAGGAAACAATTATGACCACAGCCCAAACATTGGTTTATACGGCAGTTGGGCCACAGTGCACTGAGCACTCATAAATCCAACCCAACTTCATAGACTTCCTTTGGTGTGTGAACAGTATAAAAGCATGTGTGTGTATGTGTGTGAGTATGTGTGTGTAGAAGTGTGTCTGTATTAGAGAGTGGGTGTGTGTACCTCCTTGCTTGGCGTTCTTGGGTATGAAATCAAAGAACAGGAATGCTAGAGCTCTGGAACATTCTACATGAGATGGAACATTCTACATAAGATTAAACCTTCTACGTGGTATTAAAGATATCTTGGGATTCAGGAAGTAAGTTCTGTAGCATGTCAAACATGTATGTGTGTTTGACATGCTACAGTATATATACAAAAGTATGTGGACACCCCTTCAAATTAGTGGATTCGGCTATTTCAGCCACACCCGTTGCTGACAGGTGTATAAAATCGAGCACACAGCCATGCAATCTCTATAGACAAACAGTGGCAGTAGAATGGCCTTACTGAAGAGCTCAGTGACTTTCAACGTGGCACCGTAATAGGATGCCACCTTTCCAACAAGTAAGTTAGTCAAATTTCTGTCCTGCTAGAGCTGCCCCGGTCAACTGTAAGTGCTGTTATTGTGAAGTGGAAACGTCTAGGAGCAACAACGGCTCAGCTGTGAAGTGGTAGGCCACACAAGCTCTCAAAACGGGACCGCTGAGTGCAGAAGCGCATAGTGCGTAAAAATAGTCTGTCCTCAGTTGCAACACTCACTACCTAGTTCCAAACTTCTTCTAGAAGCAACGTCAGCACAAGAACTGATCGTCGTGAGCTTCATGAAATGGGTTTCCATGGCTGAGCAGCCGCACACAAGCCTAAGATCACCATGCGCAATGCCAAGCATCGGTTGGAGTGGTGTAAAGCTCACCGCCATTGGACTCTGAAGCAGTGGAAAAGCGTTCTCTGGAGTGACGAATCACGCTTCACCATCTGGCAGTCCAACGGACGAATCTGGGTTTGGCGGATGCCAGGAGAACGCTACTTGCCCCAATGCGTAGTGCCAACTATAAAGTTTGGTGGAGGAATAATGGTCTGGGGCTATTTTTCATGCTTCGGGCTAGGCCCCTTAGTTCCAGTGAAGGGAAATCTTAACGCTACAGCATACAATGACATTCTAGACAATTCTGTGCTTCCAACTTTGTGGCAACAGTTTGGGGAAGGCCCTTTCTTGTTTCAGCATGACAATGCCCCCGTGTACAAAGCGAGGTCCATACAGAAATGGTTTGTCGAGATCGGTGTGGAAGAACTTGACTGGCCTGCATAGAGCCCTGACCTCAACCCCATCGAACACCTTTGGGATGAATGAAACGCTGACTGTGAGCCAGGCCTAATCGCCCAACATCAGCGCCCGACATCACCAATGCTCTTGTGGCTGAATGGAAGCAAGTCCCCGCAACAATGTTCCAACATCTAGTGGAAAGCCTTCACAGAAGAGTGGAGGCTGTTATAGCAGCAAAGAGGGGACCAACTCCATATTAATGCCCATGATTTTGGAAAGATGTTCGACGAGCAGGTGTCATGTAGTGTATATGTATCATAGGATACACCCAATCAGTGACAGTTTGTTTTACTTCATTGCCAGTGGTATTCACTTTTGTCACTGATGTTTGTACACATTTCTCTATTGTATGGTATGTGTGTTTATGTGAGAGGCGTGTGTGTATTCGTGTGTGTGTATGTGTTTTATGTGAGAGGACTAATATGCGTGTGTGTATTACTGTGTGTGCATGTGAGTATTAGTGTGAGTGGATGTGTGTGTGTTTATGTGAGAGGTGTGTGTGTATTAGTTTGTGTGTGTAAGTGTGTGCATGTCAGTGTGTGTATGTTAATGTGCGTGCATGCATGCGTGCGGATGTGTGTGTGTACGTATCAGGTGAGTGTGTATGCATGTCTGTATCTGTATGTGTGACCCCTGACCTCTGGACAGTGAGGATGAGCTGGTAGGTGGCATCTTTGATCTTGTTCTGGGCCTCACAGTGCATCATGTCCTCCGCCGGGATGCCCTCGATGGCCAGGATGACATCACCAGGACACAGGTTGGCCACCGCCGCCTTACTGCCTGGAGTGATCTGACCAGAGAGAGAGAGAGAGGGGTGACACATGAGATTGATCAATATTAATTCCATTGTCACAAATTATAATAATAATGGTTGCTGTTATTTGTGTTGTCTTCATTTACTTTGGCGAGGTAAGCAAATGTCTTCACTTTTCATACTGAGAAAGTGAACTGAACTGAGAGAGAGAGTGAGGGAGAAGGAGAGAGAGCGAGAGAGCTTGAAGTGAGAACCCCGGCTGCTGCCGAGGTATATTTTTACGATTCTCTCCCGTATGTAACTCGGTACGACTTATAAAACCCGATCATTCAGAGAGAGAGAGAGAGAGAGATGGAGACAGATAGAGGAGAGAGAGAGAGAAAGAGAGAGAGAGAGAGAGATGGAGACAGATAGAGGAGAGGGAGAGAGATCAGTAAGGAGCAGGTGTCTGCTGCTGTTAATAATCTACTATTAGCCAGGCAGAAATGTGTGCCATATTTGTGTGCTTTCATAGTCACACAACAACATGGGGATATCCTTCTTACCTCACTACACAAGCATGCCATCTCTCTCTCACTCCCCCTTCCTCCCTTGTTTCCTCCCTCCCTCACCTCTTTCTCTCACACTCCACCACTCTTATTCTCTGTAACACTCTCTCCATCCATCTCTCTCCATCTTGCACTCTTTCTTCATCATATTCAAATGGCACTTCAAAAGGGATGTACTGTCCTATGTACACATAATGAATGAACACAATGTAGTTAGGTTGGCCACCTCTATATCAGTGCCTAATTGATATGTTAGGTAAACTGTAGGCCCACTTCTAGTGAGGTAGACTACCTTTAACCACTTCTGGTCTATAGAACCTCTAATACGAGCATAGATTTGCATGATTCTATTTCCTCCTAATGTCGTTGCAACAATGTTGCAAATAGATTGGGAGAAGGTTGTTAATAAAATTACCATATGGCAACATTTTGACAACCCAGTTTTGTTGATAGGGTTGCTGCATTTTGTGCATAACAACCCACAACTATATGCTATTGATGTTCATACAAATGAAAAAGCAATGCCAAAACTCCAACTCAAAAGTCAACTCAAAAGTAGATTTTGTTGCAGAAGTTGAAATATACAGTTTGCTGGGAGTTTGACGTTTGTTTCACTAGCCTGTCTACTTGAAAGTGTCCTGGCCTCCAGAGTACATGGATGAAACCTCTCTGTGTATAAAGTCAGGAGGTAAACCTCTCTCTGTGTATAAAGTCCTTTGCCATCGCTGGTATTTGAGCTCGTGCAAACCGTTTATTTCCCATCTCTCTGTGTGGACGAAGTAAACACGTGTTTCGTCCTGCCGATTGACAGTATCCAGACGGAATACGGACGCTAGTCGGGCGGCAATGATTGGGTTTTATAAGTTGTAAGGAGTTACATACGGGAGAGAATTTCAAAATATAGAGAGAGAAGTTGAAGTTAAAACCTTGGTAGTAGCCAGGGTTTTCACTTCAAACGCTCTTCCTCTTTTTTGTCTATTTCTCTCTCAATATTTATTTATCTCATTCTCTCTCTCTCTGATGAGTTTTCCTCTCTGGTGGAAGAGAGCCAGATTGCGTTTTAGGCTCCACAGACGCAACTTGAACTTCAAACGTACTGTACGTTGTAGCTCTCACAGACGTAGACGTTACATTGAAGCTTGGGTCATAAGCCTATAAATAACTCAGGATGAGAGAGTCATGGGATGTGGGGGGAACATGAGTGATTTACACAATTTAAACTTTGGCATTTTCCTAGACAACCATCTGCATCTCCCTGCGATGTGCATCATTTGTACTACTCTCATTTTAATTCCAACAGCCAGTCACAAATCACTCCCTAACCCTTCACTTGGCCCTTTAAATGTTTGCAGATCTGTAAGGTGAAAGCAATATGGTGGAAGCTCCTCCACTACACTGGAACCTATCCAGACTCTTCAGATCTGCAAACATTGAAGGGTTAGGGCCAAAAGGAGGGTTAGGGAGTTTATTGGGACCGGCCCCAAAAGTCTCCAGCATGGATGGACCCCTGGGTTGTGTTCAGGAGGGAGAAGCATTTTGAAACTGTTTGAAACGGGGAGGTACTCCCATAACTTGTCCAATAAGAAGCCCTCATTTTCATTTTGCTATGGCCCTTCTGAACACAACCCCTAGTTTCTTACCTACTCGGCTTCTAGTCCCAGCCAAACATGCGTGACCGCAGCTAATTTAAACATCACTCGTCATTCTGGATTCCCTCGTTTGCTGGAACCGGGCAATGGACATCAATTAATCATGTTTAGTTTACACTTCCATTTGAAAACAAAATCAACCGAAGAAGGGGATGTTTTTGACCAAAAATGGCCTGGGAAGACACGGTCGAGACAAGGTCGAGGTTCAAGCTCTGCGAGCGAGAGGAATGCGCCAGTGGCTAAATCTCATTACAAGTGAACAGCCCTCGAATGAGAGCTAATAAGACTGTGTAGAGAGGGTTTAAAAAACTTCGATCAATGACTGCTTTGTGAGAGGTTGGGAGTAAAGTGATGAGAGCTTGTCTAGTGGGTGGATTATGAAGGGATACGTGCGCACACACACACACGGACAGGGTCAAGGGTATATGAGGAGATATAAATCAAATCAGGGGGAAATACTGAAAAGCGACTGAAACGGAGTCAGATTGTACATCATTTCCCTGATGGTTAAGGTTAGGCTTGGGGATAGGGTGATCTGATCCTAGATATGTGGTTAGGGGCATCATCTACCTGCAATGCCTTTGAAAAGGTGTTTTATAATAAACACAGTTTTTGGCCCTCCCTCCCTCCCTCCCTCCCTCCCTCCCTCTCGCCGTCTCCCCCCACCCCGCCTCCCCCCTCTCCTTCAGCAGTTTGTTCAGAGAGGTTGCAGTTCTCTGCTCACGCAACAGGTGTGTAGTGGCCCCCAGGGGCCAGTGATTCACAGATCTCCCCGGTAACTCTTTAAGCCCCCGGCCCTGGTGCCAGGCCTAAACTTAGACTCACGACAGGGATTACTGATACTCCTATGGTTACACACACACATACACATCTTGCCAACGTCAAAATACAAACTCCAACATACACACACTCACAGACAGAGACGGACACACATAAAAACAAACACACACAATGTTAACACAAACACATGATGATGATCACACACACATAACAAATACAGTTTAATGTCTTAACTTGAGCTAAATGAAGGTCATTCTCAGAATAACTCCACCTAGATGCCTACCCAGGAGACTGCACTTTGGTCACCAGCTATTAATCCATTCCCAGCAGTCTGCGTTCATTCAGCTGCTGTGTGTGTGTGTGTGTGTGTGTATGTGTGTGTGTGTGTGTGTGTGTGTGTGTATGTGTATGTGTATGTGTATGTGTATGTGTGTGTGTGTGTGTGTGTGTGTGTGTGTGTGTGTGTGTGTGTGTTCGCGTGTCAGTAGATGATGCAAACAGCTATTTCAAACTAAGCTGCATATATTTACTGGAACATGTGTGTGTGTGTGTGTTTGAGCATGTTCCCCCAGCCACGCAGCCTTCCACCCCATGGAAAGACCCCTTGCTGTATCACGCTTTAACACATACATCCCAAAACACACATTCACAATCCAATGATCTTTCACTGTAAGTCTCAGGGCTGTTCTATGTTAGGGAATGGCTAAGGCTGTGACATCCAAATGGCCTCCTATTCCCTTTATAGTGCACTACTTTTGACCAAAATTCCTATGGGCCCTAGTCACTATTTAGGGAATATGTTTTCATTTGGGACGCGGCCTTTTGGCAATATTACTGCATAGTCAGTCTGGTTTGATACACTGAGCTCTTGCATGCTGTTTCTCATCCTAGCACAGCTATTTAACTGAGACAAGAGGGTAAAGGGAAGGTGAGCCAAGTATGCTGGCAGTGAGAGAGAGAGAGAGAGAGAGAGAGAGAGAGAGAGAGAGGAGAGAGAGAGAGAGGAGAGAGAGAGAGAGAGAGAGGAGAGAGAGGGAAGAGAGACGAGAGGAGGAGTGAGGGAGGGGGAGAGAGAGAGTGAGGGAGGGGGAGAGAGAGAGAGAGAGAGAGCGACACATACAATAGGCTAAGAGAGCGAATCAACATAATCCTCTACACAGAACACAATGGTTGAGCGGTTGAGTATATCTGACTATTTGTGTTCACTGTAGGAAGACACACACACCCCTCCCTCCTACTGCCGCCTCCTCACCCACACAAACACCTGGCACCAGGCCCACTCAAAGATGCTCGAGCACACATCACACATACAAAACATACTGTAAACACACAATCGCCCTCCCATTGTCAGTCTTTTCAGTCTAAAAGTATCAGGTACACTCTCTTACCCTGGAGATGGTGAGGGGCTGGTTGAAGTCCTTGCCCCCGGTCAGTCGGAACCCCCACGGGGCCGGGCCATTTAGGACAACGTCCAGTGGCATGTCCCCCTCTCGGCCCCTTGTCCCTGTGTCTCTGTTCCTGTAGCTGGAAGTACACTGGTGTTTGTGTGTGTCCCAAACACAGCAGGGTTCTCAGAAACAGAGCAGCGGGACGACTTACTCTTGTACCCTTTTAAACTAGCGGAGGGGTGGGGGGAAACCCCACCCCCTCTGTGAAGTCATTGGCCCGACTCAGGACTAGAGTCAGCTCTCCCTCTCTTTCCTCTTTTGGCTGGCGACACTTTCTCCCGTTTTCCTTAACGTGTTTTGTATCTCACTGTATCTCTCTCTCTCTCTCACTCTCTCTCTCTGACTTGTTCCATCTCTCCCCCTCTTTCCACTTCCTTCTCAGACATAGCAGCTCTTTCCCGGTTTCTGAACATGATACTGTACCTGTTGCACTTCAACTCATCCAACTCATGTAGTGTTATCCTTCTCCAGTAGTGTCTCGCTGTCTCTCTTGCTCCGTCTGTATGCCTATGAACATCCAGGGGAAGAGTGGAGGTAGGCCAGTGTCTGTGAGCGTGCAGCCCACTTGTCTCTCCTCGTCCCTGGGTTGCCTCGGAGCCCAACTGGGCCCCCCCCCCCTCCGCACTCTGGCTGATGATGCTCTTGTCCGGCTGCTCCTGCCCTTATTTGGTCTGCAGGCGCAGCTCCTCGCTCAGGCCCTGGAGGTCCCCCAGGCGCAGCAGCATTCCAGGCCCTATTGATCTAGAGCGGATCCAGAGCTAGGGCTCTCCTCTCCTCCTCTCTTTCGCCCTCTTCATTTCATTCGAGATCTCTCGTTCTTTTTCTGTTTGTGTGATCTGGACATGAACCAATTACCATTCTGTTCTGAACGTTTCACCTTCTCTATTTCTCGCTCTCACCCTCTCTCTCTACACAGTGAGTGTTTAACAGAAACGAGGTCGGAAGTGTTTGTGTTCCAATTAGTGAAGGCAATTTTTCTTCTCTCTCCCGCTCTCACGCCTAACTGAAACCGTTACAAAAATAACTAACGCAATTAACTCATCCAAGCAGTTCTTGTGTGTTCAGTGAGGGGGAAAAAGTATTTGATCCCCTGCTGATTTTGTACGTTTGCCCACTGACAAAGAAATGATCAGTCTATAACTTTAATGGTAGGTTTATTTGAACAGTGAGAGACAGAATAACAACAAAAGAATCCAGGAAAATGCATGTCAAAAATGTTATAAATTGATTTGCATTTTAATGAGGGAAATAAGTATTTGACCCCTCTGCAAAACATGACTTAGTACTTGGTGGCAAAACTCTTGTTGGCAATCACAGAGGTCAGACGTTTCTTGTAGTTGGCCACCAGGTTTGCACACATCTCAGGAGGGATTTTGTTCCACTCCTCTTTGCAGATCTTCTCCAAGTCATTAAGGTTTCGAGGCTGACGTTTGGCAACTCAAACCTTCAGCTCCCTCCACAGATTTTCTATGGGATTAAGGTCTGGAGACTGGCTAGGCCACTCCAGGACCTTAATGTGCTTCTTCTTGAGCCACTCCTTTGTTGCCTTGGCCGTGTGTTTTGGGTCATTGTCATGCTGGAATACCCATCCACGACCCATTTTCAATGCCCTGGCTGAGGGAAGGAGGTTCTCACCCAAGATTTGATGGTACATGGCCCCGTCCATCGTCCCTTTGATGCGGTGAAGTTGTCCTGTCCTCTTAGCAGAAAAACACCCCCAAAGCATAATGTTTCCACCTCCATGTTTGACGGAGGGGATGGTGTTCTTGGGGTCATAGGCAGCATTCCTCCTCCTCCAAACATGGCGAGTTGAGTTGATGCCAAAGAGCTCCATTTTGGTCTCATCTGACAACAACACTTTCACCCAGTTCTCCTCTGAATCATTCAGATGTTCATTGGCAAACTTCAGATGGCCCTGTATATGTGTTTTCTTGAGCAGGGGGACCTTGCGGGCGCTGCAGGATTTCAGTCCTTCACGGCGTAGTGTGTTACCAATTGTTTTCTTGGTGACTATGGTCCCAGCTGCCTTGAGATCATTGACAAGATCCTCCCGTGTAGTTCTGGGCTGATTCCTCACCGTTCTCATGGTCATTGCAACTCCACGAGGTGAGATCTTGCATGGAGCCCCAGGCCGAGGGAGATTGACAGGTCTTTTGTGTTTCTTCCATTTGCGAATAATCGCACCAACTGTTGTCACCTTCTCACCAAGCTGCTTGGCGATGGTCTTGTAGCCCATTCCAGCCTTGTGTAGGTCTACAATCTTGTCCCTGACATCCTTGGAGAGCTCTTTGGTCTTGGCCATGGTGGAGAGTTTGGAATCTGATTGATTGATTGCTTCTGTGGACAGGTGTCTTTTATACAGGTAACATGCTGAGATTAGGAGCACTCCCTTTAAGAGTGTGCTCCTAATCTCAGCTCGTTACCTGTATAAGACACCTGGGAGCCAGAAATCTTTCTGATTGAGAGGGGGTCAAATACTTATTTCCCTCATTAAAATGCAAATCCATTTCTAACATTTTTGACACGCGTTTTTCTGGATTTCTTTGTTGTTATTCTGTCTCTCACTGTTCAAATAAACCTACCATTCAAATTATAGACTGATCATTTCTTTGTCAGTGGGCAAACGTGAAAAATCAGCAGGGGATCAAATACTTTTTCCCTCACTGTATATATGCATGACAACAATGTTAACGCACAGTAAGCATTGAAGCAAGACAAGCTAATCTATTAAACAGATGTCAGCCCTCTCTCTGTGCATAAAATCAGTTTCCATAATGTCTATGGGTAGAAAGAAAGACTGTTTTAAAGGAGCCCAATTATGATGACATCAAAGTCTTTCATTCTCCCTTCAGTGTCGATCTCCTGAAATGGCTAACATACCTCCTTCAAGACTATCAATCTGGGTTTGTTTGTACAGTTGCCATGGGGGCAGGTTTAGCGAGGAGCTGACTCCTACACAAATAAAGGACGTCTGTGATGGTGTGTGTCTGTAGAAGGAACGTACACACACACACACACACACACACACGTCTCCAAATACGTACCTACTTCACATAGAACACTTGAAATCGTCTTGGTCCAACAATACAGTCTAATACATAGTGGAGCAGAGACTGAACTTTAACCTTTCCTGGAATATACATACAGTTTACCAATAGAAAAAACCCAAACGCGCTACAGCCCAGCTTAAACAAAAGGCTCTGATGAAGGCGATTTATGCAGAAACATAACCCTTTTGTTTGTTTGTCCCGTCAATAAATCTATCAGATCTACCCGGCAACAGAGTGCTCCTTTTTCTTTATTCTCCCAGATAGTCACCAGTTGAAGTTTCCTGGAGTAAGGAATGTTTTTTTTGGATACATACAGTTTAATTGCATACAGTATCAAACGTACAGTAATTCCTATGTGGACCACAGCAGAACTTACCTACTGTATAACCATGTTTTTGTCACACCAGTGAGAAAAGGAGTCCGCCTGTTATCACAGACTATGCAAAGAGAGAGAAAAATATAGAAATTATCAGGCAGAATTTATTAGGAATATAGTCCCCAAAAATCGTAAATTAAAGCAGAAAGACTTGTAGAAAGACTTGTAATAAGAATGTCATTGCAATGCATCCACTTGAGTTCACATTTGGACAAAGCTAAGAATCTGCACTTGTAGGACCCCTTTCACATTCAATATAAACAACTCCAATGTGAGCCGGGGATCCTCCAAAAGTCCATGTCTTCAGTCCAAAAGCTTTAAAGTCCCCGAAAGTGGTAGCAAAGGCAGACTAGAAATATTTAAAACGTTACAGTCTATCCTTATTAAGTTGTGGTTAAAGTACATTCCCTCACACTCCATTTTGTTCTCCAGAGAGGGTATCCCTGGTAACACTACAAGGTACCACTTTACATTAAGGCACCCTTTATAAAGAGCACCTTAAAGTAGTGTAACCCACTACAAATGTTTTCTTTCTGTCTTTCTTTTTTTTCCTTTTTGTTTTGCACCATAGGGATATGGCGGTATGACTGTTTGGGGAGAATGAGGTGGATGTAGAAAGAGGTGATGTGAAAAATTGACAAGAGGAAAGAAAGGCAACCCAAACGGATGGTGGGTGAGAAAAGAAGAGTTTATAAAGCAGTGGATCATGTCATCGATTTACAGCTCCATACAAAAGACGTACAAAAAAACGCCGCCGACAGACACGCAGTGCTCTCACATGCCGGGGTCGCGTTCATTAGGGATAGCAACGGGAAATGTTTGCAACAGAACGCGAAAATGTGCATTTCTTATTGGACATGTTCAGGTAGTCCCTCCCTGTTTTCAGTCCATTTTATTCCGTTTGGTGCCTAATGAACACGACCCAGGGTAGGGTGAATGAAAAGGGGATGGTGTGAAAAATACATGAGAACAAAACCGACCAAAGACAGAAACAAAAAATTAAGTAATTACATATTAAGGTGCTTAAACGATTGTTCTGCGGTCAGTGTCCTTCCTATATGAATACATACTCATTTACACACGAAAAAGGCAAAATAACTTCAGAAATCATATTCATTGAACACAAAAAGCCAAGTATGCCTAACAAATGTTATTCAAATACATTGTTATAAGCTATTGCAGTGACACTCTAATCGTTTCATTCATTCCCAACAGTAAAAAAGGTCGCCATCAGAATGATCTATAGAGGAAAAACAACTCCAGGAACATAACTGTATAATTCAATAAAATTAATTTACGCCGCTTATCTGATTATATTAATTTAGAGTGAAGTACAACATCGCATTTGGACAAAGGCAATGAATGCGGCGACAACATTAGCTATTTCATTCCTAATACAGTATTCAACAGCAATCTTTAAAAGAAAACCTCTTCATAGAATAAAATAACTTTGTTTCAAAAAGGAGGGTTGTGTTATTGTTGAGACCTGACAGTTTGCTGTAAATTGACAAGAGTAAATGTCAGACTTGACTGCAAACAAGTTTAGGCTATTGTCTCGTTATCTTAAACATGACACGGGGATTTGCGGTGGTTGAAATTACTTCACCTTAGGCCACTTCAACTAGAAGAAAGTACAGAAAGTAAGCTGAGAAACTTATGTTGCTCCATCCATTCCATGAGTTATATCTATGGACGGAGACATCTAAATGATGCCTTATCAATATTCAATACTTTTCCCATTATAAATACCTTTACATACAAAAAGTGGGAAAACGGGTTGCTTTTGCATATGTTTTTCCAACGGTATCAAACCCCTAAAGCCCTATCGACAACCCAATCTAGCGCTCACTTGTAAAATCCGTAGTGTACTCAGAAATGTCACGTAACTAAAATGATAAAACGCCAAGTCCACCAATCTTGATTATAAAACAAAACAAAAACGAATAAAATCCCAAATCTATAAATATTATTTTCCATCAAAAGTACAAATGTACTGTCCTTGTTCAAAGAGAGGGGTTAAAAATAAAATATCAACGATTGCCACTTCCACATTTGCAATAACTCGCCCATATAGAAGGAGTTTGCAAACACTATAATAAGAAACCGGAATTGACTGTAGGCCCATAACAGGCAGATATCCAGAGCCTTCCAGTGTGAATAGAAGGCTCTGCGTACAATATCTATGCATTTGCCTCCAAACAATTCTTACCCTATCCCATGGTATCCAGCAACACTTTTGGGTATCACGCATTACAAAGCATAATCATTTTCACTGGGGAAATAGGTGAGTGTTCCTGTGTTGGTGTAAAGTAAATATGAAATGTTAGCAGCATCTTATGAAGAAGATTTTTTACTAATGATGCTGTGGTTGTTTCATGGTGCTTATTGAAAGTTGCTGTGGATAAGAGCATTTGCCAAATGACTAAACATTGAAATGTGTTGCAATGTCCTATGACAATACTGCTCTGAAAATACCAACCTGCCCCTCCTATTACATATAATACACTTAGGGGGGGTCTCTGTATTGATTTAACACTGAGGAAAAAGGGAACAGAAACATGTACAAAACCAAGATGGCTGACATGATTATGTCTAGGCAATCCTGAGTGGCAGTTTACATTGCATCTTTAATCCATCTTTACCATATCTTTACCATATTTGACCTTACTGAATGTTACACAATCAACTTATCAATGCAACTTATTGCATTACTGGGTTAAAATATATCTAATAAATAAAAGAAAAGCAGATGTCAACACTAAAAAGGTGGCCATCTTGTTTGGCTACCCTTCCTTCAGTATTTGAGGTGACAGGAATACAAACAGTATGGATCTACTTCTACCTCTTCTTAATCATTTAGAAAATAATTGTTTAGTTAGTGGAATAGTCTCCTGTAGAGTTGGCTAGTTAGAGCTAAAACTAAATATTTGTTGCGACGTTGTCGCACACACTTGGGCAAGGCTTCTTGGATGACCAGACGTAGTGGGGTCGTGTCGCTCCGGGGTGAAGTTTCCCCTAGGGCAGATCTAGGATCAGCTCCCCCTCCCCAAATCCTAACCTTAACCATTAGTGGGGAAAGTGCAAAACTGACCCAAGATCAGTATCTAGGGGCAACTTCACCTTACTCCAGGTTGGTTGTGTCCAATTTGGGTTATGCTAGAGATGGAAGGGTCCAAGGAAGGAGGGGGCGGGGTGGACCGGATTCATCATTATAGTTTCTTGACATAGTTTCCTGGGAAGGTTCCAAACTTCTTGCTCCGTCGAGAGGTCCCTTTGCAAAAACACAAAAACAGAGATGCCATTATTCCACTGTACGTGGACACCCACGGTGACACAATGAAACGTCATTGTAGGACGTGACTGTAAAAGAGGTGTTGGAATGTGTCTGTTTACCTAGCCCACTAGAAGTGATTGATTCTAGAATTTCAGTGGTTCTTCTATGCAGAGGGGACTATCAGTATTAAATAATGTATTCAAATATCGCAAAAAAACACTAATGATTCCCTGCACCTTTAAAATAAACCAAAGAACATCCAAAGTTTAGTTTTTCAGCTGTGTCTGTCTAGTTAGCAGCATTCCTACAACACTGCAATGTAATCAACATCCAGATCAGGAAGTTAAAGGTCTCGTCCAGCTAAATCCCATTGCAACATGGCTGGATTTTGAGGAAGGAAGGAAATACAAGGACCTAGAAGTGAGGGGGCAAATGCATTCTCAGTGCAACCAATCTTTAGTGGATAATATTGCCTTTTGGTATTCAGCTGAGTGGTAGAAATGGATTAAGTAGACATTTCAGAGTGGGAAAGGGGAAGTCCTGAAAAAACACCTAGCCCCTACTCCCTAGGCACTTCCCCTAGCCCCTACTCCCTAGGCACTTCCCCTAGCCCCTACTCCCTAGGCACTTCCCCTAGCCCCTACTCCCTAGGCACTTCCCCTAGCCCCTACTCCCTAGGCACTTCCCCTAGCCCCTACTTCCTAGACACTTCCCCTAGCCCCTACTCCCTAGGCACTTCCCCTAGCCCCTACTCCCTAGGCACTTCCCCTAGCCCCTACTCCCTAGGCACTTCCCCTAGCCCCTACTCCCTAGGTACTTCCCGAAGCCCCTACTCCCTAGGTACTTCCCGAAGCCCCTACTCCCTAGGCACTTCTCCTAGCCCCTACTCCCTAGGCACTCCCTAGCCCCTACTCCCTAGGTTACTTCCGAAGCCCCTACTCCCTAGGTACTTCCCGAAGCCCTACTCCCTAGGTACATTCCCGAAGCCCTACTCCCTAGCCACTTCCCTAGCCCCTACTCCCTAGACACTTCCCCTAGCCCCTACTCCCTAGGTACTTCCCGAAGCCCCTACTCCCTAGGTACTTCCCGAAGCCCCTACTCCCTAGGTACTTACTCCGAAGCCCGACTCCCTAGCCACTTCCCCTAGCCCCTACTCCCTAGGCACTTCCCCTAGCCCCTACTCCCTAGGCACTTCCCTAGCCCCTCTCCCTAGCACTTCCCCTAGCCCCTCTCCTAGGCACTTCCCCTACCCCTACTCCCTGGGCACTCCCCACCCTCCTACCTTCCCCTAAGCCCCTACTCCCAGGCACTTCCCCTAGCCCCTACCTTGCCCTAGGCACTTCCCTAGGCCCTACTTCCCCTAGGCACCCCCTAGCCTGCACCCTAGGCCACTTCCCCTAGCCCCAACTCCTAAGGCCACTTCCCTAGCCCCTACTCCCTAGGCACTTCCCCTAGCCCCTACTCCCTAGGCACGTCCCCCTAGCCCCTACCTACTCCCTAGGCACTCTTCCCTAGCCCTACTCCCTAGCCACTCCTCCTAGCCCCTACTCCATAGGCACGTCCCCTAGCTCCTACTCCCTAGGCACTTCCCCTAGCCCTACTCCCTAGGCACTTCCCCTAGCCCCTACTCCCTAGCCACTTCCCCTAGCTCCTAGGCATTTGTAAATCTGAGAGGATTGCATAGATCTAAGTAATGTGGCAAAAATTCCAGCTGGCCTATCAGAGGGTAAGGTGGGACTATTACCACATTTCTTATCCTTATCAAAGTCTTTTAGATGTACGCCCTAAGTGCCTATAGGCTAGGGGTTGTTTCCGGATGGGGCTGAAGTGTGTTTTCCTTAGGGCACAGGCAGTAGATCTACAGGCATGGAACTCGAGCACCACCTACTGGTGAGAGTGGGGTATGAGTTGAACATAAATGCCATACGTTATGCACTGCTGCAAATCTACTAATTGCAGGGCTCTCCAACCCTGTTCCTGGAGAGCTACTGTCCTGTAGGTTCACTCCAACCCTAATCTAGCACACCTGATTCTAATAAGTAGCTGGTTGATAAGATGAATCAGGTGAGTTACAACTGGGGTTGGAGCAAAAACCTACAGGATGGTAGCTCTCCAGGAACAGGGTTGGAGAACCCTCTACTACAGCCTACCAGAGCGTTGGTCTCCAAAAATGCACCCTTCGATCCTCCTTAACCTTGAAACTATTTCCAATCTTCTGTCATGACTGGATAGATAACAGCAAGGTGTTCTGCAGCTTATCTTTTTAACAATCAAGTACTGTGATTCTGTGAGGAAAAGTTGAAGTATTAATTCTCCTCGCTTACCGACAAACCAGCCATCGTCACATTTCTCCATGACGTCCACAATGTCTCCCTCCTTCAGCTCCAGCTCGTCCTCATTACGGGGCAGATAGTTGTACAGGGCCTGGAACCTGGGAGGACACAACCAGGGCTGTGTAAGAAACGTGGCCCACACCGCTATAGCTTTGTGATAAGATCATTATTGATGGTTGATGTTGATGTAGGCAGGTAGCCTAGCGGTGAAGAGCATTGGGCCAGTAAACGAAAGGTCGCTAGTTGGAATCCCTGAACTGACTAGGTGAAAAATCTGTCGATGTGCCCTTGAGCAAGGCACTTAACCCTAATTGCTCCGGATAAGAGTGTCTAATAAAATGTATGTTGATGATAATGCTGATTGTACAAGTGTTTAGGAGGCTATGATGAAGGATAATACCGATAATATCTGACTCCATGATATTAATGATTACTAGAACGACCAATGGGGCCACAACCATGGAAATATAACCCACATAGCTATAGTCCTATGATAAGATTATTATTGGTGTGTCAATGATGACGATGATTGAGATTCTACTTACGGGTCTCCTCCACCATGGAGCGAATCCTGCACAATCCTCTGAGAGACAGAGACAGAGACAGAGACAGAGACAGAGACAGAGACAGAGACAGAGACAGAGACAGAGACAGAGACAGAGACAGAGACAGAGACAGAGACACAGACAGACAGACAGACAGACAGACAGACAGACAGACAGACAGACAGACAGACAGACAGACAGACAGACAGACAGACAGACAGACAGACAGACAGACAGACAGACAGACAGACAGACAGACAGACAGACAGACAGACAGACAGACAGACAGACAGACAGACAGACAGACAGAGAGAGAGAGAAATAAGTACAATGTGGCACAAACAGTTGATATGGTGACATAAATCCACTGCTTTGAGAGTCACACTGTTATCATTTGGCTCCATACCCCTTACAGATGAGAACAGAATCAAATAAACCCCCAAATCCACTCCTTAACAAAAACACACCAAATCTCAATGCTCAATCCCCTACAATGAAACAAATGCACTACAATGTAGTCAAACAATATCATGCACTGAAATCCAGGGGTAACCAACAGGGTATTATTAGAGAACAAAGACTACATTCCCCACAATGCACAGCTGCTAGTGTCACGCCCCTACCCTTCGACCTCTAACAGGCGACAGACAGGACCTTCGGGTCGCGACGGGGCTACGGGGGGGTTTACCGTCGACCGCGATGGAGGTCGTGCTTAAAAGGAGGCTGAAAGAACCAGAAATGCGACACAACAACAAGACAGACGGCAGTCAGCCTCCATTTTCAGAAAGAACAAGAGCAGCCATTTTGACCACAGAGAATCACTGGTATTATCCCAAATGAAACCCTATTACCTATATAATACACTTCAAAGGTTAAAGGTTAGTGCATTATATAGGGAATACAGTGTAATTTGATCACTCAGTTCATGCTGTATGCAAGGGCTGTCTTTCCATGCATACAAAGGCATCCACACTTTACACAGTATAGGTGATTTATCCACCTCTTATAGGCTACACACAATACATCTAAAAGCTGGTCTGGGTACACACACTGGTGACCTCTCATATTAACACTCTGGCATTCACTGTGCATATGGGCATCTGCAACCAGGCGTCCAACATGCTGCTAATTCACGCATTGTTATCACACAGCCGCACACACACTTCAATGGTCCAACAGGTGATTCATAAAAAATTATTAGGGCACAACACACACACACACACACACACACACCACACACAGTCAGTCAGGTTTCATTTGAGCTATCGTTCCTTATAAGTTGTTATAACGCAATACGAGCACCTGCAGTGTCTTTTACCTTGATCTTAGGAGACCTAGGCTCTGGAAAGGGTACGAGTGGAGGAGAGGGAGAGGAAGGGAGAGGAGGAGAAGAGGGGGGAGGGGAGGACGGGAGCGCCTGTTGTGCGTCAGGGATGGGGGAGGTCGGAGGAGAGGGATTGGGAGGAGGAGGGGAGACCAGCGGTGGGATGGGTTGATGTGAGGCCAAAAGGGAGGAAGAGAGAGGGGTGGGGGAGGTGGGGGGAGGAGTAGAGGATGGGTGGGAGGTAGGGACGGGTGAGGTGGTGGGAGGCGAAGAGGTGAGAAGGGGAGAGGAGGGTGAAGGAGAGAAGAGGTGAGAGGTAGAGATGAGGAAAGTGGGGGGAGGAGGAGAGGGGTGAGAGGTAGGGATGGGAGAGGTGGGGGGAGGAGAGTAGGGCGGCACAATCTGTTGCGAGGAGGAGAGGGGGATTGGGAGAGGGGGAGGAAGATGGGACAGTGTAGAAGAGGAAGAAGAGATAGCCAGGGATTCAGCTGATTGTGAGGCAGAGTAAAAAGCGGGGGATGGTGAGGAGGGAGGAGAGACGGGGGGAGAGAGGAGGGTGATGGGTTTTAACTGTGCCGGGGTGCACAAAGTGCTGTGACAGCGGGAAGGATAGACATCAGCCTGGAAAGTGAAAGGAAAATGTGACACCAACTTTTTCTCAGTCACATAATATCATCACACCCAGCGTCAAACCTCGAGCTGAATCAACACTCCAAGAGTTAGGTTCATTATCGAAGCATTATTCTGCATAATCAAGTATAATGAGCCAGAAAAGGCAAGACGTGAAACTACACTATAGTATACATCAGGGGTTAGGGACAATTCCATTTCAATTCATGACTGAAAAGCCTCCATATATCCAAATGTATCCAAGCCCTGGTTAATCCTGTATTTTCCATTATAATAAGTCAATCTTAATTTATTATAAAACTGTGTAAAACTGCTTGGAATTGGCTCAGGTTAGGTGTTAGCAAGCATGTGTGTATGCTTCAACTGAGTCTGAAACCTGGTCCATACATCATGCGCTACCTCTGTGTTCAGCCCCTCTCTGTGGACAGTTATAGTACCACAGTCTACATCCATTCTCCTTTCTTCTTCTGCCTTCTCCTCCTCCTCTTCTTCCCCTCCTATAGCTTCCTCCTCTTCCTCAATGTACAATGTCATCGGCCTCTGAGACCCCGCCGTCCGCCTATTCACCCTTTTTGATTGGCTGTCCTGCATGATTGACAGGGGCTGCGTAGTCACAGGCCTATGAAACTCCGCCTCTAGCCTAACCCTGCTCTGTGATTCGTTGGTCAGTGCCACGTGCGGGGGTTCCACGGCCGGCCTGAGAACCTCCGCCCCGTCTTCGTCACACATGGGCTGATCCAGGATCATAGACAACAACTGATCATAGGGATCTTCCACTTGCTGCTGAAGAGAGGGGGGTTCCGTTTCTAGTTCTAGGGATACTGGCTGAGCACTTGGCCTGTAGCACGGCAACAAATCTGCGGGGGTGTCTGCCGGCTCGGGTTCAGTGCAGAAGAACCCCCCTCTGCCTGCTAGGGACAATGGTTCGTTCTGTTCACTGTCTCTTAGGCCCTTCTCTTTGAGGTATCCCAGGAAGGAGTCGGGCACGGGGGAGGCGGAGGGAGAGGAGGAGTCAGGAGGAGGGGACGGAGAGAAAGGAGGGGCTGAGGGGGGGGAGTCTAAGTCAAACAGCCACTACTTGACAGCCGGGTGGGAGGCGGCGAGACGACTGGATGCGTTTCGTGGTGGAGGGGTGAGCCCTCGTTTGGGTGGTGCGGGAGGGGTGGCCCTCCGATCTTCCAGGAAAGGGAGGAGGCTTGGGGGGAAGGGGGGTGGCGTGGTTGGTACAGGGGTGTCGGAGGAGGGGGGGCCGAGGGTGAGGGAGAGCCACTCGCTGGTGACGGCCTGCAGACGGAGGGTCTTCACGGGAGGAGGAGGGGTGTGGGGGGAGGGGGGCGTGGAGCGAGGGGGATGGTGGTGATGGAGGGAAGGGGGGGTGGGAGTGCTGTCGAATGGCTCCGGAGGGAGAGAGAGAGAGAGAGAGAGAAGGGGGAGAAAAGCGGAGACTTACACACCAGGAATGGAGAGGTGTGATGGACTGAGGGAAAGATGCACACAAACTCATCCACACTGCTAGTCCCGCTTCCCTGCCATCCAAACCCAACAATACCCTCTCTTTCTCATTCTCTAGCACACACACATATTTCACAAGGCTCAAATGTTCTACATGCGTCTGGGTCCTGTTGTGTGAAGCCTCTCCATTAAAGGAATAGTACAGAGATGTAACATATTTAGGTATTTGTTTCTTTACCCTGAAAGCAGTCTATGGACAAGGAGGTACTGTAATCCACACTCAACATCCCTGTTAGCATTGTAATGCTATCACTCTGGGTGGACATGACTTCCTCTTTAAGCCATAGCATGTCGACAGCCACTTGAGATAGCATGGTAAAGATTTAGGTTTCTTAAAGGAGAGGAAGTAGGACCCCTAACACATTTACAGCGCTTAGGAAAAAACTACAGAATTCAAATCTGCCAAGACAGACTGTCACTATTGGTTTACTCCAGTTTGGGCCCTCCCCGGAGGCATGTCCCAACACTTGTAAGAGCCAATAGTGGCTGAATAGTGTTTTGAAGTGTATAACATGGCTGTGGGGTGAAACTTCCCCTAGTTACAGATCTAGGATCAGCTCCCCCTCCCCCAATCCTAACCTTAAACATTAGTGGGAGAAATGCAAAACTGACCCAAGATCAGTGTCTAAGGGCAACTTCACCCTGCACTGGATAACATGTGGCTGGAGTAACTTTAAAAACAGAGGACGGGCTCATTGTAATGACTAGAACAGAACCCTATTAAAACACCCGTCCCAGCCATTACTATGAGCCGTCCTCCCTTTCACCAGCCTCCACTGGTGACTACATACTGTAACAAGTGACCTGCTCATTGGGTGCTGCACTATGGCTGCCCTCTGCTTCAGCCTCTGCAGCCTAACATGTGTATGTGTGTGTACTGTATACCGGAGCAGAAGACACATTTCCAGTCGTATATGGACTAATAAAATATTCTTCTTCTTCTGTCCCTACCTTGGTGGGCGTGGAGCCCTGTGTCCTGTTGCCGGGGTAGCCGTGGGGGTCTGGGTGGTGGGAGGGGGCGGGGCTCTTGGAGGGCGAGCGTTTGACGATGTCTATGTAGGCCACGGGGAAGATGCCCTGCTTGGTGGTGTCTGGGATCTTCCCCTCGTACCAGTTCTGGTCCACCTGTCTCAGCAAGACTACCCGCTCACCCTGCAGAATATACACACACATGTAAACACACACGACAGGCACACACACGCACACACACACATACATATCAACACACACGAAAATGAAGACACATCAGTGAACAGACATGCGCATTGAATCATGCACAATCACACTAACACGCACGCACAACCTCGCGCACAAACACACACGCTCCTTACCTTGCGGAGGGACAGCTCCACGTTAGTGTCAGCGTTGAAGTTGTAACGGGCCACCCCCTCCCCGATCTCTCTGACGTGTGCTGGTGGAGGAGGCCTAATCGGCTGCTGCTTCTCTGGCAATGGCATCTTCTGTGTGTGTGTGTGTGTGTGTGTGTGTGTGTGTGTGTGTGTGTGTGTGTGGACAGATCGGGGGAAGGCATAGGTCAGAGAAGTAATCAATTAAACTGCACACAAAGCTGGGTGATGACAACACACACACACACACACACACACACACACACACACACACACACACACACACACCATAATCATTATCATCTGAGACACACACACACACACACACACAGGTGGGCGGCAGGTAGCCTAGCTGTTAAGAGCGTTGGGCCAGTAACGGAAAGGTCGCTGGTTCTAATCCCCCGAGCCGGCAAGGTGGAAAAATCTGCCGTTCTGCCCTTGAGGAAGGCAGTTAACCCCCAACAACAACTGCTCTCCGGTGCTGATTCAGTTGGTTTAAATGCCGAAGACGTTTCAGTTGAATGCATTCAGTTGTACAACTGACTAGGTATCCCCCTATCCCTTTCACCCCACACACTCTCAATGTCCTCTACCTCTATGTAGGAGATGGGGAAGATGCCCAGTCGCCCGCGGTGCTCTCCCTCGTACCAGTTGCTGTCGATCTGTCTGATGATGTTGACCGCGTCGCCCTTCTTGAACGTTAGCTCTCTGCAACAATAGTCACACGATGCTTAACCCCCAACACCTGTCTCTATGGGTCGGTTTCCCAGATTAAGCATAGTCCTGAACTAAAAGTCATGCTCAATGGAGAATCTCTATTGAAAATTGATTTTCAGTCAAGGACTGTATCTGGAAAACCGGCTACCAATGACATGTATTGATTATACGTGGCCCATGCAGGAATCAAACCCAAAACCCTGGTGTTGGCAGCACTGTGTTCCAAGGGTACACACATTGAGTCATTGGAATCATCAATGTGACATTGTTAACCAGCCAGGCACTAGTCTCGGGCCCAGACTCTAGGCGTTTCAAGCCGGAACATTGGAACATTGTGGGAGGCAACCTGGATGTCTAGAGAATAGCCAAGCACCATTTTAGTATGAAGAGCAATGGCAGAAGCAATCGTCCATGCATGCCTTTCAAGGCATTCATTACCCACTGCACCATACAAGTGTCTATAGTATGTGAACAAAGCAATTGTTTACGGCCCGTAGTAAAATAATATAGGGAGGAAGAGTCCTAGAAAACCAATTTATATTTGATCAAAAAAAAGGAGCAAATCACAGTTTTAACTTGTAGACACTGGAATGGGCTAGAGATAACGAATGAGGTTATTGCCCATAACTAAGATGAAAGGTTGCAAATCGGAACTTTGGCCCCCTCAAAGAAAAGCGGACTCTGTATCAAGCGTCGTGCATGCCCAGCCTACATGCTTCCAAACCAGTGCAGCGCACGCCAAGGTCCCTGTATCTCCCCTCCATTTCACTGCATTCAGTCACTCTACTCACTTAGCAGTCTGTGCCTTAAAGTCATATATAGCTCTGGCAGGCTGCTTCTGATGGAGGAGAGAGAAGAGAATGAGTTGGGTCATCTGCTTATGGGAGACCTATGAAGATGGAGATGAGAGAGAGAGAGAGAGAGAGAGAGAGAGAGAGAGAGAGAGAGAGAGAGAGAGAGAGAGAGAGAGAGAGAGAGAGAGATAGAGAGAGAGAGAGAGAGAGAGATAGAGGGAGAGAGGTAGAGAGAGAGAGGTAGAGAGACAGAGGTAGAGAGAGATAGGTAAAGAGAGAGAGAGGGAGGTATATAGAGAGAGGGAGGTATATATAGAGAGGGAGGTATATAGAGAGAGGGAGGTATATAGAGAGGGAGGTATATAGAGAGAGGGAGGTATATAGAGAGAGGGAGGTATATAGAGAGAGGGGAGAGAGCAGTCATGTGTTACCAGATATGATACAATTATGTTCAAATGTAAATCGTATCATTGTAGAGAAGAAAACCATCAGTACTTCTGCCCCCTTTGGGCCAGTAGTGTAATAGCCTGCTAGAAATAAAGGAAAATATAATACATCTAAATATGAGGAGTACCAGTGTTTCCCCTCGCATTGAATAGACGGGGTGTCTAGCTCTTTGGACCACACCTAAAAGAATGTGGCTTCAATTCATTTCAATTGAAAATGTTGCAGATTTAATGTGCCCCGCCTGGGAAATAAAACATCTATGGGAAACACTGGGATGTACTGGTTTAGCTAGTCTCGCGATGCTATACTTCCAAGTCTCATTCATCACTCGGCTATCGGGGCCTCAAAGTTAGTCTGGAAAATCAAAGTTCTGGTTTGGCTACCTCTCTGTCTGGGGTGGCTCGTCTGGTCTGCCCCCCTCCCCCGTCGCTGGTGGTGGCGCTGTACCCCCTGGAGGCCTCCTGCTCTGTGAGGGCAAACAGCACAGGGGTCAAGGGTTATCATAAGGGTCAACAAAACAGTGTTACCATGGCGTTGGGACGACACATGCACAGTGACACCAGGAGGCATGTTCAGAAGGGCGAAGCCGTTACAGCATGCTCAGATAGAAATGTATTGTGCAGAAACTGACATGATTGTCTTTTATGTAGAATATCACGTTGGCTCTATTCGTTACATTTCCCATGGGAGGATTCAGAAGGGTGAAATGTTCAGAACGTTGCAGGTGGAAGTGCAACATCATAGAGCTGACACAATTGTCCATTCTCCATGATTAAAAGAGGAATGTCTGTTCTATTCAATATATTCTGTGTCTTAGCGTTCTGTAGCGTTGCGCCTCCCTGAGTAAACCATGTTGGTTCACGCAATGGGTGATGATGTCATTCAGGGTAGTGATGTCATCCAGGAAATGAGTGTCGGGCAGGAAATGACAAAATTAAATAATAATTAATTAATTAAAATGCATTTTATTTCCATTTCGGGGAAAACACATGGCTTGGATAGTGTAGCAGAGTATGATTAAAAGGAAAAGCATGCATCACAAAACGAGAAGAGAAAATTTGAACAGAAGAGAACAGAAGGACAAGTCATTTATACCAGCAACTCACTATCAATACTTTTGGAACTCACTGTACATCCCCAAATATATGAACCCAATTGATAAACCTTCCATATCGGGATGTCTCATGGTCTGACAAACACCGCTTTAGCTCCGCCATCTTCCATGGGTGCGTCAATAGACTCTTAAGGATGAACCTCATAGTCATTGTATCATTTAAAATCCAAAGTGTTGGAGTACAGAGCCAAAACAACAACAACGGTGTTACTGTCCCAATACTTTGAGCTCACTGTACATTCCAAAAATATATTAATCCAACTGATAAACCATCCATAACAAAATCATAAATACAAGTGGTTCAACATGAAAGAAAGAGGTACAGAACAAAAGGGGAGTGAAACAATACAGCAAAAACAGAAATACACCAACAACAACACAACCAAACCTAGTCATGGATGGGCCGATACAGCTCAAAATAATAGGGAACCAAATACAGTCAACAACACAGTCATTTAACCATATAAGGGAATGAAGAGGAAGCATGCGGTCCCTGGGTGTCTTGAGGATGAGCCAATAGGAACAGGGCTTCTTTAACCTCAGCTCTGTTCATTGGCCCATTGCTGGAGCAAAGTGACTGGTAGGAGGGGAGGTGGTCACAGGCAGGCAGTACTGGGGAGAGTCGAGGAGGGAGATGATGGACTGAGGGCTGGGGTGTGTTTTTGTGTGTGTGTGTGTGTGTGTGTGTGTGTGTGTGTGTGTGTGTGTGTGTATATATAGTACAAGTATGTGTACTGTATGTGTATAGTAGGTGTGTGTGTGTGTGCTCCACCTGCGTTACCATTGCTCGGCTCCTCTCCATAGTCGTTGTTATTGGAGGCGTCGGTATGACGACCGTAACAGGCACTTAGCGGCGACTGTAGCCGCGGAGACTGTAGCCGCGACGACGAGCCGTACCCCGTTGGACTCCCGTCGGGGTACGAGGAGCTCGAGGAGGGACCCCCCTTGCGGCTCCCCCTCTGTCCCCGCAACGACGAGCTCCTCTCGGGCACATCCGGGAGGATCTCAGCCAGTAGCCTCCGGAGGATGCTATCATCCGGTAGCCTAGCGCCGCTCCGGCCTTGCTCCGTTCGGATGTGCTCGTAGATATCCCTCAAGGCAGCATCCAAAGCTTCATAGATGGCTTCTTTAGACTTGGGCCTGGTACTTCGACCTCCACTACTCCTTCTCGAAGTAGGTGGAGAATCATCCTTTTTCCTTCGGAAAGGCACGGGGCTGACGAGGAAGGCCAGCTTGGACATCCCCTGCTGGGTTTGGGCTGCTTGGGACGAGGGGGGTAGGGCATGGTAGTCCCCTCCGCTCCCTCCCCTTCCCCCGTGTCTGGTTTGCTGTGTCTGGGGGGATTTCTGCCGGAGCTCCTGGCGGGCCCGCTCCCGCTCGTGTCGCAGCATGGTTGTGAAGCGGGTGTTGGAGGCCGGGCAGTGTCCTTTACACGAGCTGATGAGGTGACGGTGCTGGTAGCCCTGGCCCTGACCGAGAGACTGATGACTGGGGTTGTGGTGGCTGTGGCTGTGGCGGTGGCGAAGGTGGTGGTGGGAGGAGGGGCCGTAGAAGCTCTCCACTGACGAGGTTAGCGAGCAGTGGTCGAATTCGCTCTCGCTGCAGAAGGAGGATCCTTCGACTTGGACAAAGTCACTGAGGTCCGAGGCAGCCGCATCCTGTTCCGAGTCAGAGTACTCGCCCCCCGGGACAGTGGCGCGTCGAGAAACGAGGGGGGCGGGGAAATCACGGTGGTGGGGGTCCAGGGCGAGGCGGGGCTGACCCTCGGGCGGGCTCCTCGCCCCATGTTGAGTGTGATGGTGGTCCAAAGCATGATGGGACGTCCCGTTCCCATTCCCGTTGTTAATGTCCTCTTCTAGAAGAGACTCGATGGAGAAACGGCGTATGGGGTACCCGGGTGTCTCCCTGCCCCCACCGCCTCCTCCCCCGCCACTACTGGCGCGGGACGATGACCCGCCGGGCGTGGTTGCACCGGACGGGACCTCGCTATCGCCCAAGTCAGGCATGGACTTGGACTTCTGGATGAGTTGCTCGTACGTGGAGATGCGTGTTGGCACAGTATCGCGAGGGACCTCCAGGCCCCACGATGGCCCCCAGGGGGAGAGTTTTCGGGGGAAGAGGTGCGGCTGGTGCTCCAGCTCCAGGATGCGGGCACGGACCGAGCGGATGACGTCAGATGGCAGCAGCTGGGCACGGTCAATGTGGTGCATCTTGCGGTAGAGCTTCAGGAAGCCTGGCGCGTCGTGGGCCCGTCGCCGGTGCGGGCGAGGCAGGGAGCGGGTAGAGGATGAGGCGGTTTGCCCAGATGGGTTGTCGAATACCAGTGACCCGGCACTCTCTGAACGGGTAGCCTTGTGCCCGCCGGTGCCACCCGGGTGCCCGTCATTGAGCAGGTTGTCGCAGCTACGCGACTTCAGCTTTGCGGGCGAGGACGGCGCGTCCTCGGCACTGCTCCATGTCTCGGCGTCCTGCCGCCGCGTCTGCCAGCCGTTCTTGAAGCAGATGGTGCGTTTGAGGGGCGAGGAGGCGACCCCCGGGTTGGCATCGTCGTCGTAGCGACGGTGGGCGAGGTTGGAGGGCATGGGGGAGAGAGGGGAGCGGAGGTACGGGCCCGGGGAAGAGCTCAAACCGGGGGAGCAGGTCATGTCGCACGCGTCCCCACCTTTCAGACGATCCCATAAACCAGAGCAGCGTGGTAGAGAGAAATAGAGGAGAAGATTTTATCCACGAAGAAAGAGAGAGGAATACAGAGGTAATGAAATAGGGAGGGAGAAATTGAGGCTATAACAGAGCACTCGAACATCGCCTTCATCATGCAAAGGTGGAGAGAGGGCGAGAACGAGAGAGAGGCTAAAACGGAGCACTTGAACATCAGTTCCATTGTGCCAAACACAGAGGACAATGGTGGAGACAGAGAGAGAGAGATTTACATTTACACATCTCACATCCTTTTCACGATATACTGTACACTGAGTGTACAAAACATTAAGAACACCTACTCTTTCCATGACATAGACTGACCAGGTGAAAGCTATGATCCCTTACTGATGTCACTTGTTAAATCCACTTCAGTCAGTGTAGATGAAGGGGAGGAGACAGGTTCAAGAAGGATTTTAAGCCTTGAGACAATTGAGACATGGATTGTGTATGTGTGCATTTCAGAGGGTGAATGGGCAAGACAAAACATTTAAGTGCCTTTGAACGGGGTATGGTAGTAGGTGCCAGGCACACCGGTTTGTGTCAAGAACTGCAACGCTGCTGGGTTTTTCACGCTCAACAGTTTCCCGTGTGTATCAAGAATGGTCCACCACCCAAAGGACATCCAGCCAATTTGACACAACTGTGGGAAGCATTGGCGTCAACATGGGCCAGCATCCCTGTGGAATGCTTTCGACCCCTTGTAGAGTCTATGCCCCGACAAATTGAGGCTGTTCTGAGTACAAAGGGGGGTGCAACTTAATATTAGGAAAGGGGTTCTTAATGTTTTGTACACTTAGTGTACATGCAACAGAAACAGAGATGTAGAACTGACAAAGGCAGATAACGAATAGATTACAAAACAGGTACCGCTAATCTTTTCTGTTGTCCCCACACTAGGAGAGAGAAAACCTGTGAACATAATGAACGGAATTAGACGACACTACACAACAGACCTTGTTACACAAGAACATTGTTTCCCAATCCATTCCTGGGGGGGATCCAGATGGGGGTGCACATTTTTGCTCCAGCCCAGTACTAACACACCCGATTCGACTAATCAACGGCATGGTTATATGTTGATTTATCGATTTGTTTGAGACGTGTTAGCGCTAGTCTGGAATCCTAGCGGTTTGAGAAACACGGAGTTAGAACATTCCCATTAGCTCGTGGAACATTGTTGTTTGTTTACAGTGTCAACACAAGGCTATAGAGACTGGGTTGGATGCTCCTTGACCTGGAAGAGGCCCTCAGCATAGCGTGAGAAGAGGAGATTTGTAACTCAGTGGGCTTGTGTACTGTATAATTGCTGTCGGGCATAGAGTGAGTGAGCACAGAGAATGTGTGTGTGTGTGTGTGTGTGTGTGCGTACGTACGTGTGTTTATGAATGCTTGTACATCTGCAAGGGATAGGTTGTTAAGATTGAGTGTGTGTGTGTGTTTTTGGGTGTGTGCATTTGAGATCGCTTGTACATCGGAAGACAGGGAGGTTGATTGTATTGAGTGTGTGTGTATGAGTGCGCGTCTGTATCCTTTATGGGTTTCTCATTCATGGCCGGTGCAGGCTCTATAGGGATCCAGTGTGTGTGTGTGTGTGTGTGTGTGTGTGTGTGTGTGTGTGTGTGTGTGTGTATGCCTATGTATGTGTGAGTGTGTGTGTACATACGTCTCTGTTTGCATTGTGTGTGTGTGTTGTGTACCTTTGCCTCTCGAAGGGGAGGAGTGGATGTCAGGTTTCCTCAGTGTGCTGCCTCTGTAGGGGTCCAGTGTTTGTGAATGTATATACATTATGTATGTACCAGTATGTATGTATGTGTGTGTATATCTGTGTGAGTACCTTTGGCTCTGGATGGGGAGGAGGGGGAGGAGCGTGTGGCTGGTTTTCTCAGTGTGCTGCTGCCTCTGTAGGGGTCCAGTGGTTTTGGGGAGACCTGGTTCTTGCCCTGGTCACCCGACGGCTCTGACTTCCTCCTCTTCCTGTAGTCACTGGCAGCACTGGAACACAACGTGATATAACAAACCGTTTTAAAGCCACATTCCACAGTCTGTCACCTGTTCACTCATTTCTATTTCTAAATCAGTCATTACTTCAAGGGAGGAAGTACGTTTTCAAATCATTCGAACAGGGACTGTGTTTAAGCCCAACGACAGCCCCACCACTTTGTTTGGAAAAGAACACGATACATCGTTGGGAAATGTATGCCAACTACTCTCACACTTCAATTAATATTTCAATTCAAGGAAATATGACAGATTGTTCCTTTGACCCAGTTCGTATAATATCCTGGGTTATAGTTACCTTTGGTATAAAAAGCATTCATTGCCTTTTTCAACAAAGAGACACTATTAAGGAACAAAAGAAACCAGTAAAATAGACCTTTAAAGAACAAAGCTAATTTGTTGAACATTACTAATTCATAAATACGTTATCATCACCATCAATTAAATGGAATTCACATTAGGATGATGTAGCATGACTGCTATTGTTCCTTAAAATGCCCTAGACCTGCGCCAGAGTCCCGACTCCGGACTACACATGCCCCCTGGCGACGAGCGATTCGAGCCCAGGCTCGGCCGACAGTCTGTGCCTTTCCTCATTGTAACCCTCTCCCAATCAAGTTATTAACTGCACTGTCAAAAAATAAAAAAAGGGCTCCTTGAAAAAAAAAGCCTTAAGATTAAGATCAACATCAAGACTTCTAGTGTGGTTTAACCAGGCTACTAGACATTCAACTATACTGAATGCAACCCCAGTCAAAGTCTTCCATGAATGATATGGGTTTATTCATAACATCCTCTTTTCAACCATCCCATTCACTTAGAGCAAACAGAACTGATTAAGCCTAGGATCGGTGAAAGGGAACGGGAGGAGGAGGGAGGGAGGAGAGGAGGGGGACAGGGTTGAAGGACAGAATCAATAGGCTGAGCGGATAATGTATGCAGGGTTGGGGAGGGGGTGTGTGTGTGGAGTCACCCGCCACACACACATTGACACAAACACACCGACGTATGTTCAAAGAGCAGAGCTACAAAACACAGTCTCCTTGTGAGAGAGAGAGAGAGGTAGAGAGAGAGAGGTAGAGAGAGAGAGAGAGAGAGTTTGGGACGCTGCGCCGCAACACTACATGGCCTACTGCTGGTGTGAAAGAAAGAGAGCGAGAGGGAGGAGGGGGATAGAGTGAGGCAGAGAATAAAAGAAAGCGAGAGAGAGAGAGAGAGAGAGTGAATTGAAGACTCACCTCGCCGGCCTCTCTGGAACCCGGTCAGCAGTCGGAGCGAAGTACAGCGACGTCTGAAAGAGGGCAGACAACAAAAGGGAGGGAGAGGAAGAGTGAGCGCCGCACGAACAAAGACTGGTGGAGGAGGCGGTGGTACACACAATGCTCAGCTCGCACGCCGCCGCTACCGCCGTGGCGCCACGCTCAAAACGCTCCCCCGGCTGACGCCGTGACGGAGGTAGGTTCCACATGGCGTGTGTATGGAAGCTCGGAGGGGCCTACCGGGTGCGCTGAGAGCTGTGACCGCTGATTCTGTTGAACTCTGACCTTGGTCTGTTTGAGGGGTTCTTTCAGGAGGGAGAAAGGGCATGAGGGAAGCACTAAAGGGGAGTGCGAGGGAGGCGCTCTTTCACGCTTTTAGGCTTTGAGATTAAGACGCGCCCCTGAAAGACCCGAAATGGACTCTTTGGATCATTGGATTGGCTCCTTGTGGCAACAAAGCATAAAGCACAGCAGCTTCTACCCTATGCTACAGACCTGAGCCCTGTGCTGATCTAGGATCAGGTCCTCCTTGTCCATATCATCTTATCCGTTTTGATTCCAACAAGAAAACTGATCCTAGATCAGCAGATACATATTAAATCCCAAAGCTTCCCTATTCAGGTATGAGCTTTACATCTGACATGATATACATGGGTTGATAGCAACCTTTACAATTTATACAGTCTTGAGATTCACATCAATAATAAGCTGTCAATAGATCAATTAGATAGAGAGATAGCAAGAGAGATAGCGAGAGAGAGATAAATTGATAGACATAATTGATAAACAAGATTTTCTTGAGTAACTGTCATCCATATTGGAAATACATAAGAGCAGTACTGTTTATGCCAATTGGGCAATAAGGCCCGAGGTGGTGTGCTATATGGCCAATATACCACGGCTAAGGGCTGTTCTTAAACACGACACAACGCGGAGTGCCTGGATAGAGCCCTTAGCCGTGGTATATTGGCCATATACCACAAACCCCCGAGGTGCCTTATTGCTATTATAAACTGGTTACAAATGTAATTCGAACAGTAATTCGAACAGCCAATCAGCATTCAGGGCTCGAACCACCCGGTTTATATCTAGTAATAAGACACTGAGTTGAGTCACTAGCAGAAAGGCCATTGTAAATACAGGCAGTTGAAGATGCAATAAAGAGATGACTATGACTTGATAAATGACATGATATGGATGCTGAGAGATGAGGCCATATGAAAATGTCCTGCTACGGTGTACTATACATGGTGATACTGTGCAACAACTGGCCCCATCAGCCATCTAGTTACATAGTTCCATAGGTATAGTGTAATTACAGTGTAGGTACACGTTGCTACATAGCGTTTATATGATGTGCCTGTGTCGACATACAGTAGCCTAATAACATGTATAGTCACAGTAAGTATGGAAGTTTTCATCCAAATCAGTAATAAAGCAATCTAAGACTATAATTGTTTAGCAAGGTTTGCGTTACGAACTCTTAGCCTAAGTGACAGTCTGTTGGTACGCTCTTGCCAACTCCTTATGGAATTGCCATGCCTAGGGTTGCAAAATTCCGGTCCCTTTCCCCCAAATGTCCTGCTTATTCCCTCGTAATTCCAGGAATCTTCCAACCAGGATTTCTGGAAAACCGTGGAATTTTGGGAAAGTTACCGGGATTTTGCAACCCTAGTCATGCCTAACATGTTTGGCGTGACAATGAGTGACAAGGAGTTGGCAAAACAGCACACAATTATCTGGAACCAGGCTATTCAACTCCCACCCAAACCTCCCATTCCCACAATGCTCATGAATGTCATGAATGACAATGTTTACCTCGGTGAGTCGGCGAGGGCAGATGTCTGGATTATAATCCAGCCGTTTTTTAGGAGGCTTGAGCCCCAAGCAGCGGTGAGGAGGAAGAGGAGGAGGAGGAGGAGGAGGTGAAGATGGAGTGGTGGAGGAGGAGGAGGAGAGGCAGTGACGTCATGGGGAGAAAAAAACAAGGTGGAGAGAGGAAAGTGACATCCGTTAGAGCACAGAGGAACTGAAGACTGACGGGTTTCAGACGCGCTGCACACACACTCAAACACACACGCACAAATGCATATTATGCACACAAACACACATTGTAGTTATGATTAAGCCATTTTGAACACACCTAGTACATTATATTAGCTCTAACACACACTCACTACTGCTAGGCACATCTACACACCCATACCCACAAAGCAACACACAAGCAAGCAACCACACACACACACTCACACAGAGAGACATGCAGATTGTGAGAGCGAGAGGCAGAAGGCAGAGTGAAGGGGCATCTATGCACTACAGTGCAGTGATTCAGTTGTGAAGACGGACTAGCTAAAACATGATATTGGTGGAACCATCCCTCTCAAAATTAACCTCAAACCATGCGCATTAAGGAACCTTTTCTATCTTTCTCAGAGTACGTTGTCTTGGGTTTATTCAGTCATGGGGTCAGGGTGCAACATGAAGAATATTACAGCTAGAAATGTGATATATAAATCTGATCATTCCTTATTCTGCATGACATCAGAGTCGTTTTCTAGACTGCCTTTCTAGCTGAACATTCAGAAGAAGTCCATTTCCTCGACCTAACAACAGACCAACTTAGAACAAACAGAGTGTTCCTCGCCCTTTTCCCCAAAGTGTGCACTTGTACACTTCCTCTCATGGATTTCAAAGGAATGGGACTAGTGCAAGGAATATGGTGGAAAACAGGAACTCAATCCAGTACCTAAAATCTCTTAGGTCGCCTAAAGTTTAGGAGGAGTGAAAGAGTTGACACTTTGGGGAGAAGGGGTAGAAACCAAAATGTCTAAACTAGCAAACAGAAACAAACCACACAAGCTACAACATACAAGAGGAGCATGAAGAACGGTGCAGAACGGTGCAGAACTGTGCAGAACGGTGCTCTGACCAGATGCAGCGGATTCATTTGTCGATTTTAATTAGCGTGTTATTTCGATTGATCTCTGTTCTGCTCAGTTCTACTGGCTGCTCCACTAGATTATTAATAGCGGTAAGCACACTGCAAAAGAACCTGCATTTTGTTCGTGAAAAATTGGAAATTTTACAATGTAGGAAAAGAGGTTTCCCTTTGTAGGAGGATTTTTGTGATGAAAAGGACCAATCCATGTTAACTTGGGACATCGTTTTGCAGTGTTTCCAGCTTTCAACGCGTCACAAGGCCAGCTGATAATGAGACAGCCATACTACGCAAAACCAACTCTCCAAGCCGCAGAGACACAAGAAGACCAGTCACAAGGCGCTACACACAACAGGCGTCCACCACAGCACCCAACACCCAACAGCATGCCAAAGCAACTACAACAGGAAGGTCCCCAGACTCCGGTTCTGCTACTGGGTGTGCATGCTTTTGTTCCAATCCAGCACTAAAAACACCTGATTCGACCAATCTCCGTCCAGACTGAAGACCGATGACTCATTAATGCGTTAGTGCTGGGTTGCAAAAACAAACAACATCCTTTCGTTGAATCAGGTGTGTTACTGCTGGGCTGGAACAAAAGCCTGCACACCCACTAGCTCTCCAGTCCGAGAGTTGGACGACTCCTGGGCTACATTATTCCCACCCAGCTACAGTGGGGTGAACACTGAACGGGTAAAGGGGAGTGGGGGGAGAAGGGTATACCTAAGGCGGGGGATGCCGAGGTGGGAGTTACGGACCCTCACTTACCGGACGGCCGAACTCCAGCTCGGAAAAGAACTTATACCAAGGCTCGTTCTCTAAATCTATGTCATCTGGGTTTAACTCATAGGTCTGGAGAGAGCGGAGAGTGACAGAGAAAGAGGGAGGGAGAGAGAGGTGGAAGACAAAGCACATAGAGAGATATGGATCTCATGGTTAGGATAGGGTGCGCAGCGCACGGCTGCAGGAGTTGATGGGTAAAGAAGAGTGGGTCCGGATGGAGAGTTTAACACCAGGGTAAAGCGACAAAAACAGTGTTGCTAACCAGGGCACACACCATTACACTAATTATTTTGGGGGCGAACTTCGCATGTAACACGCATGCAATAATATTATAGAAAGTATTGCTGTGCAATTAATTTTACTTGGTTACTTTCCACATCTCATCCAAATAATGGAAAAACTGATTAATTGAATTGGTTGAAGGAGAATGGCCAATTCAATTCAGTGCTAAAGATAATAACATTGGCTCATAAAGTGTCCTGAGGTTAAGAAACTAAACCGCATCACCATCTGTTGAACAGTCCTGTATGAAAAGTGTCTTTGCTGTCTTTAGCGTGACACCACACATGCTCTCCTCACCAGTCACGCACTATAAAGCACCAAACCAGAGCAGAAAATTATTAAAGTGTTGTAATGTTTACACTTGGCCAGCAGAGGGCAATATCTTCATGTCATCAGACCTATACAACTGGTTCATTTCGGCACACCTGGGCCACATTCAGTAGCCAAACATTATCAATCGTTGCAGATAGAAATTCCATGAATGGAGCCAACATGATTCGTTATTCTACATGTCAGAGAGTCATGTTTGTTCTAGAAAGCATATTTATATGTGAACGTTCCAAAACATTAGGTCCTGCTGAACGCGCGCCCCCAGTTGAGCGCAAAACGGTGTGCGCCGTTCTTCAACAGTCTTCGAGGTTCGTTTACTCTCATTTGGAGGATTTGGCAGGGTGTGACCTGATCAATATGGTTGTGACCATTTTGAAATCAAAAGTTCTGCAGCACACCATACAAAATCTCCCTCTGGGCAATTATAATCACAACATTCTTCAACTGATTGTTCAGAACAGCACCATATACGTTGAATTAAGCGTTGCACACCACTGCATCCTGCTGAACGTGGCCCTGAGTAAGTAAGTGAGGTAAAAAAAGAAAGTTGGTTTAACTTAATAAATGAATTGGCTGGATACTTTCTAAAAGTCTCATTTAAACCTTCAACATGTACTCTGCCCAATACTCTGAGCATACATTTTAAAGTTAACTTTTGCACCTGGAGCAAAATTCACCATAACTGAACATACAAGAACCCCCGCTCTCCCACCTCCTCTCCCGAAGGACTACAGAATGCTAGAACGACTCCTACACACCAGTCCTGGGGATTATTCCTCAGTCACTTTCAATGAGGTTTACTGTGGAGCGGAGGAGTGATTCACTGCAGTGCCCGGCACACTGCAGACCGGCAGTGACATTTACCACCCCGGTGTCTACTGGCAAATGTAGTTTATGAGCTGCTGGGGGAAAGGCTTCCCACTTGTATTGCCGTTCTTGGAAGTGATTTTTGTATCGGACTTGCAAAACAGCTACTTTAGCTCAGGAAGAGGTGAATTGCACTGTGGAGGGGAGTGTAGTCTCATTGATATATCTATGTCTAATTGGAGTATATATATGACCTCCTTAGGCGGTCGATAAAATGAATAGGAAGGAGCTGAAAAAAAGGTTTCCAGAGGTCAACCAGCCACCCGCCTCTGGCTACTTCATACCACAAGGCCAGAACACTGGTGCCTTTTACCAGCTGGCTCAGCTGAGCCCCAGCCCTTGCTGGGTGACCCATGTCCAGTGCCAGGAGCCACTTAAAGGGATACTTTGGGATTTTGGCAATGAGTCAGAGGAACTTGTGGATACCATTTTTATGTATCTGTGTCCAGTATGAAGGAAGTTAAGAGGTCGTTTTGCAAGTCAATGGTAACTAGCGTTAGCACAATGACTGGAAGTCTATGGGTACAGTATCTGCTAGCATGCTAGTAGCTACCCACAGACTTCCAGTCATTGCGCTAACTGGCAGTGATCAGACTACAATCCAAGAAGTGGACCACAAGATGTTAATAATAACCTTCTTTACGGAATGCATTATCCAGACAGAGGCAGGAGGCAGACTGGATGTGTGTGAGCTAGTTTTCATAAGCAGCGGAGAGACCCACACCACGACCAAAAAAACACACACACACGAAGGTGATGTGACGAAGGCTAGAAACATGGTTTATTGTGGCTTTCTTAGAGAGAGAAAGAGACAGCGTAGTTGGGATGCATAGGGGAGCCTATAGCTCACCATGCATTCCAGACTTCCCTGACTCATTGATATTCCCCACGCCTGCTCCTCTCCTCTCCACATTAGGGTGTGCGCCAAATTGCTCCCTTTTCCCTATACTATAGGGCAGTTGACCCCGACTTTGAATACCACTGCTATAGGGAATAGGGTGCCCTTTGGGAGGAAGCCATGTAGTTCTGGAGAACCTGTCTAAAGACATTAAAGGGCCAATGCAACCGTTTTTATCTCAATATCAAATCATTTCTGGGTAACAACTAAGTCCCTTACTGTGATTGTTTAATTAAAATGGTCAAAAAGAAACAAAAATAGCTTCTTAGCAAAGAGCAATTTCTCAAGCAAGAATTTCTCTAGGACTGTCTGGGAGTGGTCTGAGTGGGAAGGGGACAACTGAAAACTAGCTGTTATTGGCAGAGAGGTTTGGAACTCTCTTTTTGGTCTATTAATTAATTAACCGCCTGGTGATGTCATCATGCAGGCCCTAACTCCATCCCACCAAAACAGGCTGAAATTTCAGGCGGTCTTTTCAAACAGCGCTTACACTAAAAGGGCGTTTTCATCATTCTCACAATTTCACCGTTTTATTTCAACCTCATAGTGTGGAAATATATAAAATCACAGGAAAATCACGTTTATGATTGCAGAAATTAAACGTTTTTGACTGCTTTCAGCTAAACAATGTCCTTAACTTCAGAAGAGTTGTCCCTCTTTCACCCCCCCCCCCCCAGCTACCCTCCTGCAAGCTGTCGCTCCAAACCGAATCTTAACTAGCAAAATCAGGTGGGTTACAACAGGGTTGGAGCAAAACCCTGAATAGTGACAGGCTCTCCAGGAGGAGGGTTGGCCAGTCCTAGCCTAGCCAATACCAATATAGCTCATACGATACACAACTATCCCCCACCTCACCTCTTTCCTTCAATTCCATGTAGCAAATAACCCCAGCCTCGCCAATACAATGGGTGACGTTGAGACAGATAGGGAGTGAAAAGATCCCAACCCTTTTTTTTTGTAAGGTCACTGAAACGCTTTATAAGGAAACACTATAGAAAGTAAATTATATTTCAATTATATTCTACAACGGGTTGGTCAAAACAAAAATTGTGATTGGTTGAGATGCGTTCTAAGCCATTCTAAAAAAGCAGTTTAGCACGGGTAAGCGTTTGACGCATAAATGGGCATCTTGTTTTCTGTTCCGCTGTCCCATCAGCTCAGTCAGCCAATTCATTAACTTGATCTCCACTGTAAAAAGCATATAGACATTATTTCCCCTTGCTTTTAGACTATACAATTGCTTTATTTGGGCACAACACCACAACACAAAACCTCTGCTTCAGTTTTGACTGCATCAGAAAGGTGATTGCGTGAAACGGAAACCATTTAAAAGGAGCGAACACCGTCCGTTTAATAAATTAAAATGGGTACACTTTATGGAAATAAAAATATAAGCTTGCTTGTAGGCCTACAGTGCATTTTGAAAGTATTCAGAACCCCTTGACTTTTTCCACATTTTGTTACGTTACAGCCTTATTCTTAAATGAATAAAAACATTAAATATAATAATACATCTACACACAATACCCCAAAAGCAAAAACAGCAATATCACATTTACATAAGTATTCAGACACTTTACTGAGTACTTTGTTGAAGCACCTTCGGCAGCAATTACAGCTTCGAGTCTTCTTGGGTATGATGCTACAAGCTTGGCACACCTGTATTTGGGGAGTTTCTCCCATTCTTCTCTGCAAATCCTCTCAAGGTATGTCAGGTTGGATGGGGAGCGTCGCTGCACAGCTATTTTCAGGTGTTTCCAGAGATGTTCGATCGGGTTCAAGTCCGGGCTCTGGCTGGGCCACTCAAGGACATTTAGAGACTTGTCCCGAAGTCACTCCTGCATTGTCTTGGCTGTGTGCTTAGGGTCGTTGTCCTGTTGGAAGGTGAACCTTCGCCCCAGTCTGTGGTACTGAGCGCTCTGGAGCAGGTTTTCATCAAGGATCTCTCTGTACTTTGCTCCGTTAATCTTTCCCTCAATCCTGACTAGTCTCCCAGTCCCTGCCCCTGAAAAACATCCCCACAGCATGATGCCACCACCATGCTTCACCGTAGGTATGGTGCCAGGTTTCCTCCAGACGTGATGCTTGGCATTCAGGCCAAAGAGTTCAATCTTGGTTTCATCAGACCAGAGAATCTGGTTTCTCATAGTCTGAGATTCCTTTAGGTGCCTTTTGGCAAACTACAAGCCGGCAGTCATGTGCCTTTTACTGAGGAGTGGCTTCCGTCTGGCCACTCTACCATAAAGGTTGTCCTTCTGGAAGGTTCTCCCATCTCCACAGAGGAACTCTGGAGCTCTGCCAGAGTGACCACCTGGTCCTTGGTCACCTCCCTGACCAAGGCCCTTCTCCACCGATTGCTCAGTTTGGCTGAGCGGCCAGCTCTAGGAAGTCTTGGTGGTTCCAAACTTCTTCCATTTAAGAATGATGGAGGCCACTATGTTCTTGGGGACCTTCAATGCTGCAGACATTTTTTGGTACCCTTCCCCAGATCTGTGCCTCGACACAATCCTGTCTCGGAGCTCTACAGACAATTCCTTCGACCTCATGGCTTGGTTTTTGCTCTGACATGTACTGTCAACTGTGGGACCTTATATAGACAGGTGTGTGCCTTTCCTTGTCATTATGGGGTATTGTGTGTAGATTGATGAGGAAAAAAAAGTAATTTAATAAATTTTAGAATAAGGCTGTAACGTAACAAAATGTGGAAAAAGTCAAGGAGTCTGACTACTTTCCGAATGCACTTTATATAAATATAAAGCACATGGGACATTCATATTCTTAAATTAGTTTTATGACCAATTTCAGAATTCACATTAATACGAAACAGAAGTTCACTAACAGAGCATCTATATTATTAATATTCAAAGGCCATTACCTTTCTAAAAATACGCCTTCGAGGATACATCCCCCCTTGGGCTTAAAAATACCACTATTATATAATTGCTTTCCTACTCAACCTTAACAAGCATATCAGCCCAAAATAGCAGTCAGTCAGTCAGTTAGACCAGTTCAGAACACGTAATAGAAATGTGTTTATCCCCATAATGGCTGAGGTACCTCTAAAGGCTTCTTCCTAGAGCATAGATCAGGGGTCTCCAACTCTGTTCCTGTAGACAGAGCCTTTGTGTGTAGAGGGTTTTGTTCCAATCCAGCTCTAAACACACCTCTTATTCACTCTGGACCTTAATATCTGGAATCGGGTGTATTCGTGCTGGGCGGGAACAAAAGCCTGCACCTCCATTTAGCTCTCCAGGACTGAGAGTTGAAGATCACTCGCTTATTAGGAACCAAGGAGGCTGTAGATTACAGGGTGATTATGGGTAATGGAGTTTTAAATGACTTGGATAATGACAATGTAGGCCAGGGGTGTCAAACTCAATTCCTGGAGGGCCGACTGTCAGCGGGTTTCCGCTCCTCCCTTGTACTTGATTGATCAATTAAGACCATTGTTAGTTAGGAACTCCCCTCACCTGGTTGTCGGATGAATTTATCTATTTCCGGCAGTCTACTTGGACACCAATTGAAAGGAAGTAATAAAAACCAGCAAATACATGGCCCTCCAGGAACTGAGTTTGACACCCTGATGTAGGCCAATATAAAAGTGACAGAGATGTGCTTATGGCCACTCACCGGCCTCTCCTGCTCCAGAATGGATGACTTCCCGGGCTCGTACTCAAAGATACTCCGGGGTTCGGCGCGGTACTTTCTAGTGTCCACTTTCCTATCGGGAGGGCCCCACTGATTCCTGGTGAGAAAAAAAAAAATGAAAAAAAGACATCAGTGTGATCTTGGTCCAAGTTTAAGGTGCTGCCAAAGGCATGACGCTAGCCTAGGTCTAGGTTCTAGAGCTAAGGTATCCCCTAAGGTGAGGGTCTCAGGGGGACTAGGCCTACGTAAGGACTAAGACTAGGTCTAGGTCCAAGGCCTATGTTTTACATTGCAGACTAGGCCTAAGTCTAAGCCTAAGATGCAGACTAACTAGCCGTGGGTCTTGGACCAAGCGAAAGAAAACCAGACCGCTGTGTCTTACATGGTGTCGGGCGAGTCTCGCTCCCGGTCGCTGTCTCTGGACCTCAGCTGGAGGAGGGAGGGCATGGGCGGGGGCGGCGGTGGCACGGGGGAGGGCTCCCTGAAGGTCCCGGGGCCTCTGTTGTCCGACGGGCTCTTGGCCAGGGGCCGGTACGTTTGTGTCCTGGGGGGAGGGTAGGCCATGGTGGGGTTGGAGGACTGACCATATGTGTCTAGGGGTGAAGGGGAGAAAGAGGGAAACGAGAGAGAGAGAGAGAGAGACAGAGAATGGGGAGGGAAAAGAGAACGAGAGAGAGAGAGAGAGAGAGAGAGACAGAGGATGGGGAGGGGGAAAAAAAAGAGAGATAGAGACAGAAAGAGTGAAAAGAAAGAGGGAGAAGGGGGTGGTAAACAAAGTACTCTTGCGAGTCAGGTGTTTTCATTGTTCTTGAACACAGGACAACGTGACCAACCACTAGCATACATTTGAATCTTCAAGAAGAGATCTTCGAGACTCTTACCGTGGTTACCGTCGACAGTGTATGTGGCGTTGTACGTGTCGGCGTAGTCGTCATCTGTAGAAACATGGAAGAACGTGAGCAGAACACACCCACCCTGCTGACAGCACCCTTTTCCCTGCATCCATTTGTGCACACACATACAGATTCCCTACCGCCATCACTGCAGAAATATTCTGCCTGTCTCAGGGAAAACCTCAGTGGGCAAACAAAGGCTCTGTAGGTAGTTTATCAGCAGGGTGAATACTGAAGATCAACGAATAAGGACCCAGGAGAACGAAGGGCTGACTATTGATGTTATCCTTTGAGAAGTACAGTAAGCTGTGTGTGTGCGTTGTTAAGAATAAATATGCCTTGTATTGACTATGTGAAGCGGCGCAGAGATCGCTGCAGTGCATCTGTAGGTTTGATCGATCTCTCTCTCTCTCTCTCACACACACACACACACACACACACACACGGCTGGCACAGAGAAACCCACACACAACACATGCATGTCCATCCATACACTACATGACCAAAAGTATGTAGATGCCTCATTCCAAAATCATGGCCATTAATATGGGCTTGGTCCACTCTTCTGGGAAGGCTTTCCACTAGATGTTGGAACATTGCTGCGGGGAATTGCTTCCATTCAGCACAAGAGCATTAGTGAGGTCGGGCACTGATGTTGGGCGATTAGGCCTAGCTTGCAGTCGGCGTTCCAATTCATCCCAAAGGTGTTGGATGGGGTTGAGGTCAGGGGGCATTGTCATGCTGAAACAGGAAAGGGCCTTCCCCAAACTGTTGCCACAAAGCTGGAAGCACAGGATCGTCTAGAATGTAATTGTATGCTGCAGGGCTAAGATTTCCCTTCACTGGAACTAAGGGGCCTAGCCCGAACCATGAAAAACACCTCCCTACCATTATTCCTCCTCCACCAAACTGTACAGTTGGCACTATGCATTGGGGCAGGTAGCGTTCTCCTGGCACCCGCCAAACCCAGAGTCGTCCGTCGGACTGCCAGATGGTGAAGCATGATTCATCACTCCAGAGAACGCATTTCCACTGCTTCAGAGTCCAATGGCGGTGAGCTTTACACCACTCCAGCCGAAGCTTGGCATTGCTCATGGTGATCTTAGGCTTGTTTGCGGTTGCTCGGCCATGGAAATCCATTTCATGAAGGTCCTGATGAATAGTTCATGTGCTGACGTTGCTTCCAGAGGTAGTTTGGAACTCGGTAGAAAGTGTTTCAATCGAGGACAGACTATTTTTACAAGCTACAGCAATATACGGTCCCGTTCTGTGAGCTTGTGTGGCCTACCACCTCGCGGCTAAGCCGTTGTTGCTCCTAGACGTTTCCACTTCACAATAACAGCACTTACAGCTTACCGGGGCAGCTCTAGCAGGGCAGAAATTTGACGAACTGACTTGTTGGAAAGGTGGCATCCTATTATGGTGCCACGTTGAATGTCACTGAGCTCTTCAGTAAGGCCATTCTACTGCCAATGTTTGTCTATGGAGATTGCATGGCTGTGTGCTCGATTTTATACACCTGTTAGCAACGGGTGTGGCTGAAATAGCCGAATCCACTAATTTGAAGGGTTTCCACATACTTTTGTATATATAGTGTACATACATAATGCACGCACGCACACACACACACACACACAGCCCAGGAGTGTGACCCATCTTGGTGAACAGCAAGGAATGACAGACCGTAAGTAAGCATTTCACGGTATAGTCTACACCTGTTGTATTCGGCGCATGGGACAAATAAAATGTGATTTGATCGTACACACTGCAATAACACCCGTCTCGTCCAATGACACGCTGTACTGTCTCCAGTCTACTGTAGATCTCCCCACCTGCTTTGTGAACCATGTGGATCTGCTTGAACATGGTCTTGTACCAGTCCTTCGGCCTATCCACCGTCTGTGGGGAGAGAGAAAACAATCATAAATCAATGTAGGCTACGGACAGACGGACACATAGACAGACAGATGGGCGGACAGAGAGGCAGACAGACGGATCGATAGACGAATAGATGGACAGGACATGTGCAAAGAAAAGTCTGTGTCCATAGCCACGTGTTTTTGTTTGTCACACACACACACTCCCACACACACACACACACTCAGTCGTGTCATCGGCTGACAGGGGAAGTTCATCTCTTGGCCAGTCGATAACACTGACCCCCACGGTGACCTGACTAGGCAGAAAAGTGTCCGTTTTCAGTCCAGAGTGTGTGTGTGCTTGACCAGACGTACCCAGATGGCCCGAGCCTGGCCACCACAATGCCAATCACCCCCGCTAATACCATGGCTACCAGCGTGAGGAGCCAGAAAAATTCTCAGTGAGTGCACACAGCACAGCGCAACTATCTCGCGCTTTTCTATATATATATATATATATATATATATATATATATATATATATATATATATATATATATATATATATATATATCTCTCTCTCTCTCCTACTCCCCCAGTATCCATGCTCTCTCAGCCTCTCAACAGAGCGAGGACGAGTGTCTGAAGGACTCTTATACACGGCTGAGATACATACACAGACACACTCAGATGGGGGTACACATACACAGAGAGAGAGAAAGGCTGCTCATGGCCCTGTAGTACAATAACGAGGACTTTGACTAAGTCCCTAATTACAGCTGGCGGACAGACAGAGAGACAGAGACAGAGACAGAGACAGAGACAGAGACAGAGAGACAGAGAGAGAGAGAGAGAGAGAGAGACAGAGAGAGAGACAGAGAGAGAGAGAGAGAGAGACAGAGAGAGAGACAGACAGAGACAGAGACAGAGACAGAGAGAGAGACAGAGACAGAGACAGAGACAGAGACAGAGACAGAGACAGAGACAGAGACAGAGACAGAGACAGAGACAGAGACAGAGAGAGAGAGAGAGAGAGGAGAGAGAGAGAGAAAGGGCTCTGAATAAGGGGTCTAAAGCTGCTGACATCTCAAAAGCATTCCTCCCACTGGGCCCTGCTCACATATCAGACAGCAGACAAGGCTAGTCAGGGCCAGAGGTACTCCACATTTCCCAAAGAAAAACACAATGGTGAGTCATGAAACTCCACAACACACATTGGGTGCATCGCAAATGGCACCCTATTCCCTATATAGTGCACTACTTTTGGCCAGGCTACATAGGGCTCTGGTCAAATGTAGTGCACTATAAAGGGAATAGAGTGCCATGTGGGAAATATAGGCTTACTGTTCTGTAGCCAAATTCATCCCACTTAAAATGAAACAGAACTTTTAAGCCTTCTTAAAATGTGTTCTTAAAGTACGTGTCCAAAGAGTTTTTTCACTTGTCTTGTCGCGTGTCTGACTGCGTGTACATGCATGTGTGTCCTCTCCTCACCGTGCGAATGGCGATAGGGATGCCCGTGTCATCCACGGGGCCGATGCCCTCGTAGTGGGGCGCCTTGATGACAGACACCCGCTTCTCCTCCTCTGAAAAGCGGGCGATGGGCACCGTGCTGCTCACGCTGGTGTGGCCCGACGTCACCGACTCACGCGTCACCGACTCTGAACCTTCTGTATGGTGTGTGTGTAGTGTGTGTGTGTGTGTGTAGTGTGTGGAGGAGGAGAGAGGGGGAAAAGGGATGAATAGAGGGAAGGAGGAAGGAAGAGAAGGAAGTTAAGACAGTAAACTGATGTGAGTGATTTGGATGGGCTGGCCCAGAAAACACACAAAGGTACACAGTCTCTCCATATCACATTCTCTATCTCATACACACACACACACGCACACACACGCACACACACTCTTATCCACAATGTCGGTTGGCCAAGCACTTCACAGTAGTAGGGAAGCAGTTTATTAGAGATATACACTGAGTGTACAAAACATTAGGAACACCTTCCTAATATTGACCTGCACCCTGTTGTGACCTCAGAACAGCCTCAATTTGTCGAGGCATGGACTCTACAATGTGTCAAAAATGTTCCACAAGGATGCTGGCCTATGCTGACTCCAATGCTTCCCACAGTTGTGTCAAGTTGGCTGGATGTCCTTTGGGTGGTGGACCATTCTTGATACACACGGGAAACTGTTGAGCGTGAAAAACCCAGCAGCGTTGCAGTTCTTGACACACTCAGACCGGTATGCCTGGCACCTACTACCATACCCCGTTTAAAGGCATATACATCTTTTGTCTTGCCCATTCACCCTCTGAATTGCACACATACACAATCCATGTCTCAATAGTCTCCAGGCTTAGAAATCCTTCTTTAACCCGTCTCCTCCCCATCAGCTACACTGATTGAAGTGAATTTAACAAGTGACATCAATAAGGGATCATAGCTGTCACCTGGTTAGTCTCTGTCATGGAAAGAGCAGGTGTTCCTAATGTTTTGTACACTCAGTGTGTATACAGTATATACAGTTCATCAAAGTAAATGTAGGGCTGTGCAACACTGATGCGAGTTATGCGCCACTAAGCATATTCCCACTGCCAGGTCCACTTTGTCAGCAATTCATTTTCCATTGCGTTCCCCTATCGATTAGGTCCCGTCTGCCTCTAATGGTTGTAAATACATCATATCCTGCAAACCTCAAATGGTGCAAATAGTCCCATTACATCAACTAACTAGAGAAGTGCATTAAAGAGCCATTATCTCTGGGCGGTAGTAATACTGAGGGGATCAACATCAGAACAAAGGGAAAGTATGGGTTGAAGTAAATCACCACAGTGGTGTGATGACACGTATTCATAGAAACCTGAATACCGGTAATCAATTGGCTTACTTTGTGTGGAGGCGTACATTGTGGTTCAGGATCGCTCTTAGCGTTAGAGTGCTTGGTTATGTAGTGGTTGACTCGGGACAAAAATGGTCAAGCCTTATTCTGTGCACATTATTTTGTTAAACGTAGACTCATTAATATGCCATTGTGATTCACAGCAGGGCAACTGCCTGCTTACACAAGTCAACAAAAATTCAAAAATCAGCCCAGGCTGACACGGTCGGGATCTCTGCTCTCACCTGCGCTCCGACTCTGCATGTGAACCACCCCTGGGCTGAACGAGGCGGGGAGAGGGGGGTAGGCCGGGGGTGAGGAGGGCCTCTGGGGGTGGGGCGCACCTCCATTCATGGCCACTTGAATAGCTTGGCCCTGGAGGAGACAGAGCGAGAGAAAGAGAGAGCGAGGGGAGTAGAGGGAGAGAAGAAGAGGGAGAGATGAAGAGGGAGAGAAAAAGAGGGAGAAAAGAGAAGGAGAGAGAAAGAGAGAGGGGGGGGGAGACATCAGAACCAGAGGGTAAAACAGTGCACTCCATTTGCAAGAAACAACGTTTATAGTGGTCAAAACTGATGGGACAGACACCCACATAATGTTATCAGTTGGTTAACAATCAAAGACTCTGTACTAAGAATTTATCTCTGTTATAAGAATAGGTTACCAGTAAGACTAAAATGGCTTTACGAGTAGATAGTAAGGACCAAAGTGATCTAGGTCAATCTGATTGTTATGAGAGGAGTGCAACAGACTGTATTGGAAAATTGTGCTGCATCAGAGAAAACATAACAGGTTAGTTAAAAGGAAGACACCTGTTGAGTAGTTGGAAGTCAGCAAACAACATGGACTTATTTCAATCAGGGATTTCATTATTGGTTAGAAATGACACAGTGCACACGTAAAAGACAGTGTCACATCATTGTCACATTGTGGGTCTTTCAATCAAAACTCCCACAATGAAATAAACTATTGAACAGACATAGGAAAGAAGTTGTTGTACCTAAGAGTTAATGACAGTTGGACAAATCCTCACATTTTGGTATGTGAGAAACACACAAAAAAGACACGTTACGAAGGTGGGATCATGGTGCATAAAGACGTTGTTAGACTAAATAATCAGAAGAGTGCGAAGGGAGATGTTATGACAGTGGGACACGGGGGGTAGGGCATACAAGAGCGCTTCACTCAAGACGGGTGAGTGGATTAGTTGGAGGAGCTTGTGAACACTGTATTGTTTGGGTGTGGTAAGAGTTTTGGGGGTTGGGGGGACTCAAGCTTCCTTGGTGTAGCCAGTAGTTAGCGACGTTGTGGGGGGGGGGGGGGGGGGGGGATAGTTACGTTAGTGGCAGCAGCGGTGGTGGAGGTTAGCGGCGGCGCCTCGTCGGTGTCCGTGGTGGACGCGGAGGTCGACATGTGGCTGAGGGTGGGCGAGGGTGTGGGAGACCCGCCGGGGGAGTCCAGGCTGCAGATCTGGAGCTCTTCCAGGAGGCCCGCAGTGGAGGACGAGTATTGGCTGAGCGCTGACACTGTCACTGGGGAGAGCGAGGGTGACATGCCCCCCATACCACCGATACTTCCACCAGCACTAACCATGCTAATGCTGACCCCGCCGACTACGCCAATTTTATACATTCGGTCCCCCCCGCCACGCTCCAAGGTGGCGTATGGGGACGGGGCGTACGGGGTGGGCGACAGGGCTTTGAGGCCAACCAGGTAGTCCAGTGAGTCGGCGCTGTGGCGGTTGTAAGGGGAGCGCCGGGTGCTGTGGTCGGGGGAGCAGGGGTGAGGAGGCGAGCCCTGGTAGGATGGAAGGGGGTTATAGAGGAGGAAGAAAGGGAGGGGGAGAGAATTTAAACTGATGCGGCTGTGCATGGTTGGGTGGTCCAAACAGGACAGGAAGTGAAACGGTGTGAGACAAGAAATTATGTGGTGTTTTGTCACACTGCATTATAGTGTGCAGACTGGTGTTACCTTCACTGTGGGGTAAGAGATTGGATTAGTGCAATCACGGTGTTTGAAGATGTTGGACACTGAACAAAACACACTGTGCTTCTAAATCTGGCCATCCCTCTGACAAACGCACAAACACACGCACACAATCCCAGTTAGTCTGGTTGGTTGGTTGTGCCTGACCAACCACAGTGGTGCTGTTGAAGAAGAACTGACAGAGGTTGATTAGGAAACTGGAACTCAGTTATAGTACCACCACATTCGCTGCGGCCGGTCGAGGTGGAACTGGAGGGGAGGCCTTCACCTTCCTGCCCTCCCCAGGGACAGAAGCTGGGGCTGGGGTCTTGGGCTCCAGGGTAGGGGTCTTGGACCCCGGTGGTTTGGGGCTCCGCGGGGCCATCTGGACGGAGAGGGAGGCTGTGTGCTGGCTTTGGGGGCCAATGGAGGAGTCTCTACGGGGGGGAAGGTTTGGGGGAGGAGGGGAGGTGGTGAGAGTCTCAGGCTGGGGGACGGGTTGGTGGGAGGGAGGATCAGGGATGGTGACGGGGGTTAGTCTGAGGGAGGACACCTTGCGCTCTGCAGCCTGAAGCTGGGTGGTGGTGGAGGGAGTAGCAGTGGAGGCTTTGACGTTGCTGGTGTTATTGGGGATGGCGAGGGGGGACTGAGGGTTTGTTTGTGGGGGCTGGGGGTTGGGTTCTGGTTCAGATTGGGGTGCAGAAGTGTTGGTAGTACTCTGGTAGTGGGAGTAAGAAGATGTGCTCTTGACTGTGTAAGACTCTTTGAGGACGGCCTTCTCGTTGGAGAGGGCTAGCATCCCGGGTCCAAGGGTCTCGGCTAGGAGGGAGCTGTAGGAGGGGGGGATAGCACCAGTGGCGGGGAAGGGGTAGCTCTCTCTCCTAGGGGGCGGGAGGGGGACCTGATTGACAGCCTGGGCAGCCAATTAGAATCAGAGAATGAAAATAGCAACAAACAACATTGTTAATCAATGGAAAGATATAAATAAATAAATACATTAAATCAGTAATCATGATATGAGACAGACTAAATCCAGTCCAAAGTATAATACAAGAACAATACACCCTTGACCGGAATATATATTGGGGGGGTTTCTCTACGTTGTAAACATTTTATGAGGTTGTGGTGTGATTTATTTTCCACTTTAAAACCCAACGTCATAAAAATGTGGCCTGGAATCAAATAAAGATCATTTTAGAAGATTGAAGAGATGTGTGGCGCGGACTGCTTCCTTGCTGCGTTTATTGTCCCAAAATGACGCATAAACACCGCACACACACACACTGCACACACACGCACGGCTCTGGGGGAGGAAAGGAATCTTTCATTAGGCTCTTGATAGCTGCTGGAAAACAACATAAACATATCAACTTGAATCAACAGAAAAACTTGACAGGGGAAATTCTCTGGAGGCACTGGTGCTGAAGGAATGTAGGATTTATTCACATTATAAACTTCCTGATCAAGAACGATTCACACTGCTTTAATACTACGGATTCAACAATGATAGCTTTGCAACTGAACTCAATCAGTGTGGTGTGAATACTCTGGTTAAACTGATTAAACACATTAAAATGCTGTATAGGAATTCAACAATGCACAGTGTGTGTGTGTGTGTGTGTGTGTGTGTGTGTGTGTGTGTGTGTATATTCACCTGTGTGGGGGACTTCTTGTCTTGCAGGTTGGGCCTGACGCTGCGGAAGCCCTTGGCGGCCAGGGAGGAACTGATGTCGTCGCCGTTCCTTAGGCCATCGGTGCTGCACGACCTCCAAGCATCTGGAACACACACAGGGCCACACACACAATTACAGGTCACAGTCACACATCTCATAACACAATTATAGGCGACAGGCCTTACATAACAACTAGACCCCTTGATGCCAACACATGATGTATTCCTTTTCACAGCTTATAGTCCAAGATAAATTGGATGTGCGCATTGTATCAAGATAAGACATTGAACTGTAGTTACCTGAATCTGACGAGTGAGACTCACTCCCTGTGAGGAGAAAAGAAACGCACATTAACATGTGACTTTTGGTATGCATATCTAGATGCAGGATCATCATCAATATGCAGCAGAAGAGACATTTGAATGGTGGTTTCAGTAGCCCGAATACATATCCAGGGGCTTGGATATGTTCTGAAATTAATGAGACAGACTGCTGAAAGAGGGGGAGAGAAACATTTAGGGAAGGAAAAAGGGACAATTCAGAAATACATAGAAGGGATACAGTTAATATGGAGGGCTGTCAGAGGCATGTCTGTTCTACACAATCTATTCTCATCTGAACGTTCCGCAACGTTGTGCCCTTCTGAACGCAGCCCTTACAAAAGCCAATAGAGCCGAGACACAAAGCCAGGACATTATGACACAGGGCACACAAGAGAGATGGAAACCAGGGTCATGTTCATTCAGCACCAAACGTAACAAATCAGAGTGAAACGGGGAGATACCACCTGAACTTGTCCAATAAGAAATGCTTGTCTTTCCATTGCAAAACGTTTTGAACATGACCCTGTGTTACCGTCCACATATCCCAACTGATATTAACTCTATTGTCACTCAAGGGGATCAGTGTCAAATAGAATAGAGATTATAAACCTAGTATTAGAGGTATGAGGCCATACTGCAGCTAACCAGCTAGAGACACGCAATGGGGCTCAAAACAACGTAACACGGGATAACTGATATAAAAATGTATAGCTACCCAAATAAATCATTGCAGTCGCTAAATTTCTTTTATCAAAGAACACAATATTGACTATATAGATATAGCCAAGCTGCGTACTGACATATGATGGTATATGATATGTTTTTGTCTTCTAGCACAGCTGACTACACTAATTACCACACCAGCTGAATCAGGTGTGGCACTGGAATAGATCAAATAAGTGGAACTGGGGGTACCCAATGAAAGGTTTAGGAAACGCTACTATAGAAGATGAGAGGTTTGTTGTTGGGGGAGTCTACTGAACACATACATGCAGTACATCAGCCTAACTATGTGGAATGCATCTATTTCAAACCCAATAGGTTTGACTATAGCTGGCTTTGGAGTGTGCAGCAGTGGGAATTGATGACAGAGAAGCCAAAACAAAGTCATAAAAAAAAGGAAATAGAAACTATGGAGGCTTGGCTAAGTTAGCTCTCTCCTACTTCTTAAACTGATATCGTAAATACATTAAAAGGGGGATGAGACAGTCGGGGTTGGGGAATTGAAGTGTGTGTATGTGTGTGTGTGTGTGTGTGTGTGTGTGTAGCCGGAACGAGCGTTGGACATTTCATGAGGCGCGGAGTATGTTTTTATATCCCTGGCACGGCTTAATAGCACTCGCCCGCTGCCCGCCATCACCCAGGGAATTCTGGGTAACCGGAGATATTCGGCGTTGACAGGATATGTCGTTAATAGCTGATGCCGCTGTGTGCGAAGCCGTCGCTGCCTTATATTTTTGTTTCGGGGGAGTTGTTTCACTGCTTTACCCATGACCAACAGGGGGGAGTGGTCTATTACTTTTGACGGCGTGGAAATTAAAACGCTAAATTGTCCTGTCATGTGGTTTCACCCCCCCATTAAGCACTAGCTGGGTTCCTAAAATGAACAGCCTGAGGCAGACCGCACTTGAATCTGTCAACTTGTTCTATACAGCAGATTTGAGGTAGAAGTTGTGCTGGGCCCCGTGTAGCTCAGTTGGTAGAGCATGGCGCTTGCAACGCCAGGGTTGTGGGTTCGTTTCCCACGGGGGGCCAGTATGAAAAATGTATGCACTCACTAACTGTAAGTCGCTCTGGATAAGAGCGTCTGCTAAATGACTAAAATGTAAAATGTTAACCACAGATTTAGGATCAGATTACTGTATCTCTCAATCCTGGCTTTAGTCATAGGGGATGGCATAATATCTGATCCTGTATCAGTGATTAAGGCCAACTTTAATGCTAGTGCACCACACCCTTTAGACCAGGGTTCGTGAACTACGTTCGGCAGGTCAGAACATCATTAGCATATAATATTAGCACAATTAATTGACCTACACTACAAATTGAACAACATTTTTAACACATCTGATTAGTACATTATAAATCCAGAGACAATAACATAATAATTTCGATCTGATTACGCTCCTAAAATCACCATGTCTCTATTCAATTGTAATTGTTTTCTATTTCTCTGTGTGTTGATTGGTGGGGGAAAACAGGTATACATAGCCTACTGTAGGCTACACTACTTTTTTTAACGTCAACATTCGTTCAGAACAATTAGCTTGATAGCAAGAGAAAATGTCGCTCTCAAAAAGTATCAAAAGAAAGGTGGTAATGAAAATCAAAGTTTCATGGAAGAACGTACAGAGAGACATGCGTTCATCTTACCATCTTTTCCCAAAGCCAAGCCAGTGTTCCTTATTTGCAATGAAAATGTTGCTGTTTGCAAAGAATTCAATCTCAGACGTCATTATGAATCTAAGCATGGAACTTTCAAAGTGGCCCCAGACAGAGGCCCGACGCAGAAACATTGAAGCGTTAACTGCAAGTTACACACACAGCTTTTTTGGCTGACATTCTGTCACTTAAACGGGTTAAATCTGCAGTTACAAGGAAGAGGGAAAACAGTCGTGGACATGGTGGAACAACTTGAGGCCTTTACTAGGAAGCTTGAGTTGTTCGATTTGGACTTGTCATCTGGAAGGCTACTGAACTTCAGCACACTGAAGAAAGGACAGGCAGAGGGACCAGGCCGCAGCATTGTCACAGAGGTGATGGGACAACAAGCAGCTGAGGGACAACTTCTCCACCAGATTTGAAGACTACAGCATGCCCAAGGATATCATTGCGTTTGTAGTGATCCTCTCACAGTCCGCCCAGGCGGAGAATTATCCTCCCTTGCTAAGAAAACGATACCCTTGCTGGATGAGGCTGCAATTCAAACTGAGCTGATTGAATTCCAGACGTCGAGCCAAATCAGGGATGCCGAGTCCTTGTGTGTGTTTTGGGTGGCATGCTCAGAGGAATACAGCACAATAAAGAAACTAGCATTTTATGTGCCAACAATGTTTGGATCGACTTACACCTACGAGTCCTCATTTTCCTCTATGAACGCAATATAGACTCACCACAGGAACCGGCTTTCACACAAGTCAATCAAGAACTGCCTGTGCATCAAAATCACATCCATCTCACCCGACATCCACAAGATCGTGTCCAAAGGGAATTGCAACTTTTCACATTGAGTAAGTAACTTAGTGGCCTATATGACTGTATTTAGTAAATACTAACATTATTATGAGTGCTTATCCAGGGATATTTATGTTTCAAGCTGACAGTATTTTCTGTGTGTTCTGTCGTTACAGGAGCAGGATATCCTGATACAGACATTGACAGAGACGTCGCCTTTTTTACTTTAAATTATTGTTTTATGTAGGATGCTACATTTTTGTCCAGTTGCAATTGTAAGTAGGCCTAATAAAAAATATCACTTATTTTAGGCCATATATTTTTTATTGTGAAAGATTAAGATTAAGATTATTATGTTAAGCCTCATAGCCTTCCTCAGCTAGTTAACTTTTTAAAATGAAGCTTATTGTTGAAATGAATTACTTGACTGGTGTAGTTTTTCTCCATCTGTTGCTGTGCAACACTTGCATAACAAGTTAGCTATATTTTCAGCACCAGGCGCTGTTCACCTATTGATTGCGCTGCGGTTGCAGCTTTACGTTTCAGCACCACAAAATGGTCCGCTGCCTGCTTTATTAGTTGACTGTCTCCTGCATTCTCTCTCCTCATGCATGAAGTTAAAATGTAACTTTTGCATTATTTAGGTAGAGTAACTTCCTTCTTGGGACATTGCATTTAGGAGTTTTTGCATCAATAATAATTAATTTGGGGGGCTTTGGGGGGCCAAATAATATTGCTGGCGGGCCAGATTTGGCCTGCGGGCCACCAGTTGGGGAACCCTGCTTTAGACTGTACAATACCCTCAGAAGCAATATTTTTGTTTGATGTAGAAGTTGTGCTTAACCACAGATCTAGGATCAGATTATCGTACCTCTCAATCCTGACTTTAGTCAATGGGGATGGCATAACATCTGACCCTGGATGAGTGTTTTGGTAGATGTTGCGATAGAAGGTAGTTGTCCTTAAGCACAGATTTAGGATCAGATTATCCTACCTCTCAATCCTGACTTTAGTCATAGTGGATGGCCTAATATCTTACCCTGTATCAGTGAGGCCAACTTTGATGCTACTCTCTAAATCAAAAGACAAACACACAACGTCAACATCCCTGACTGTTTCTCACTAGACCCAAGCTCAGAGCCGAAATGGTAAGAATGAGTCAGGGTTGCCATGGTTTCGAGCCACCACAGTACAATTTTTAGCAGTCACGCCCAACCGTGTACAGCGCACACATCCGCTGCAAATCATGCTGGGAATTCCCTCTTGACTCGAACAGAGCCCCGTCTTACCCAATCACAGCAAAAGCTCTGAGATACTGACATGAACCATCTAGTTTCTCAGAGGAATGAAAAGAGAACGAAGGGGGAGGAAAAGAAAGTGATAGCAGAGGAAAAAGGAGAGGAAACGGAGTGACAGACAGCGAGGAGGACGCCGGTCCCGGAGGATGACAAACGAGGGTTGTCGCAGGAAGTCAGATGAATGAAAGCAACAGGAAGTGAATGATGTCAGGGCTGAGGTGGAAGAAAAAATACAACATTTGAACAACATTTTATGTCTTGACAGAACATGAAACCCCACCAAGGAATCTAGTCAATAGAATGGTATGGTTTCTTAACAAAATTAACAACTGTTACAGTCATTTACTCAATGATGTCTTATTTGCATATAGTCAAAAGTTGCACTGACTGACTGTTAGCATGGCCTTCACTTACCCCCTTCAACATCAGTGTGACTCAATGATCGTCTGTACAGGCCTGTGTATGTGCGTTAGGCATAAGGGTTGGTTTTTTGTTGGTGTGTGACATAAGTGTGTGTGTGTTAGTGGTGTGTATTAGGTGTTAGGTGTGTGTGTGTGTGCTAGTACCTGTAGCCAGATTCGGGACGCTCTGGACCCGCTTCATGGGGGACAGGGTGAGTAGCAAGGCAGCGCTTTTGCGAGCGCGTCCTCCGCTATCTGGGAAAGCACAGCCAGCAGCCACGGCAGCAGAAGCAGCACACACACGTGCACATACACACACACACACACGCCAAAGCCCCCAGGAAAGAGAAGGCAAAGCACATGCATTTCAACGGCTCCATTCTCATAAGCAATGGGGACGGGAGGAGGATGACAGCTCATATCAAGATGGATGGAGGGAGTCAACTGTACTGACAAAATCCTAGTATCCTATAGTTACACAGCAATGTGGACTCAGCAATATGATACCTTCATAGATACCTTCATACACAGCGGGGCAACTTTGTGCTAACAAACTCATGTTTTAATTATGTTGTTGTTTGTCTGTCAGCAGGAAGTTGCCCACTGTGATGTCATATCGCTGACTCCACCTTTAAAGCTGACACACGTTTTGTTTGTCTATCTGTTTGTGTGTCTACTCTCTTACAGTATGTTGTCAATACAGAATATAACTAAAACTATAAACCAGATTCTATAACAATCAACAACAAAATCTATCTTAACCGATTTTGTGTTTGTTTACATTCTGGTTGATTCTGGCAAGCAGTAAACACACAGCAATTAAAAGTCCCCCTTCCTACTTCATATGAACTGTGACCTCAAGGCAGATTAACATTCATGCTTGCTTGGTCATCGACGTGGGAGTAATGAAACACTGTTTATTTCTCTGAGCGGGCACAGAATCACTCTGCATGCAAAACGTTTCAGCACACCCTGCCGTTACGAAGGTAAGGGAATCAAAAAACATTTCCCCACAACAACGTTCAGTAGGCAAACATGGTGGAATGTTGCATATAGAAATATCATGAACAGACCTGTCAGAGTCACGCATGTCCTACATAATATATTTATATCTGAACGTTCCACAACGTTGCGGTCTGCTAAATGCAGCCCTGGTTTGCTTCATTTTTTATGTTACGGGAACTTGATAAGACCATCGTAGATTGTGCGGAGGCTATTGCCATCTCAATACAAGGGTCTTATTTAATTCTGTGCCTGATTAACTCTCGTGATGTAAACAATTACCAAAGCTGGAGCAAAACTCTCTTTGCAATGTCGTGGACACTTGATGAGAGCATATTCCTGGTGGACTTGATAAGAGCGTTCTAGATTGTGCGGAGGCTATTGGCACATCGATAGGTATCGTGCTGTAAACGATTACCATAGCAGGAACAAATCAAGACTTTCATTGGCAGAGTAACAGAGGGCGTAGGAGTGTAATAACACTAAGTGAATGATTTGTCATCATAGCTACTGTAGTGAAATACTCTATACACTTTGGGATGCGGGCCAAGTTTAAGACGGAGCTTTGGAGGCCGATTTATGAATGAGAGGAATTACGTGGGTGTATAACTAGACCATAATGCAATGCAATATGTGTAATGCCTCTATGCTTCTACATTATAGAGCAGAGGTGGCCATCCCTCCTCCTGGAGAGCTATTGGGGGGGGGGGGGATTTTTTCTCCAACCCTGTTGTAACACAACTGATTCAGCAACTCAAGGTCCTGTGAGCATCTGATTGGTAGTGTTGGGTGTGTTAGAGCAGGGTTGGAGCGAAACCCTGCAGAAGGGTAGCTCTCCAGGAGGAAGGTTGGCTACCCTTGCTCTATAATGCTTAATTAATCAAGAATGGAATCGCACATCCTTCATTCAAAACTCGATCCTCTAACGGCTCTAAAAGTCTTCAAACAGATCATTTGTTCTTTTCTGAAACAAGATAGGTCCTGTTGCGAACTTGCTTCAATCTGAATATTCAAATCAAATGAGAGGTTGTTGAAATAAAAAAAACGATGAATTAATGTACAGTTTGCATAGCTAAGCAACTCCGGCAGCAAGCAGTATTCAACAGCTGGCAAATGTAAAAAAACATGGATATGGATCGTCAAAATGATTCAGATCAGCCATAGCGCAATCCCTTGAGTTCAACATCCTAGTGTGTGCGTGTGTGTGTTGCGTAGTGTTTAAAAAAGGCCGATCACATACCTGTATTCATGTTGAAGAGCACTCCTAACAGTTCTACCGTAGCTGGATACACTTTCCTGGAATAAAGGAATCAGAGAGAGAGGTTAGATTCTTACCCACTGTAAAGCCCTTAGAGAAACAGAAATCCTACTTCTTTCACATTACCTGGTGCAATTCAGTTTGACATGCCATGTAAACTGCCAATGTGTATTTGTGAAATGGACATTGTGAAGAATAAATATACTGTACCTCAAACGTTAAAGTTTTCCATCAGGAATAACTTGAGTCTGACTCAAAAACTAAAAGTCTCTAAGTGGGACATTTTGATTACAAAAAGCAGTGCAGTTGTAAAAACAGACCTCATTTCCTCAAATAGTTCCAACATTCATTCCTCCCATTGGCGTTAGGGCAGCAGAATTAACATTGCCCCAGTTTTGTGCGAGGCTCAATACAGCTTGTAGCCTAAAATGAACATTAATTATTAGTTCTTTGTGTTTGTCTTGACCTCTGAATCAGGTGGATTACTGCTAGGCTGGACACCAGTCCTCACATAGCCATACAGTAGCTAGGGTAGATGTATCTCTATAGAGTAGCTCCTGCATTCGAGTATCACAAGCATGTAGTCATGGAATGTGAAACATTTTCATTTTAATCTATATTTTCCTTCCTTTAATCTATCTATCCTTGAGTTGTGCAGCTCATTTCCCAGGGGGACCTAACAAGATGTAAACGAATGTATCTAATTTATTGATGTAATAAAAATGTTATCCATGAATTTCAGCAACAGTGAGGAAAAAAAGTATTTGATCCCCTGCTGATTTTGTACGTTTGCCCACTGACAAAGACATGATCAGTCTATAATTTTAATGGTAGGTTTATTTGAACCGTGAGAGACAGAATAACAACAAACAAATCCAGAAAAACGCATGTCAAAAATGGTATAAATTGATTTGCATTTTAATGAGGGAAATAAGTATTTGACCCCTCCGCAAAACATGACTTAGTACTTGGTGGCAAAACCCTTGTTGGCAATCAGAGGTCAGACGTTTCTTGTAGTTGGCCACCAGGTTTGCATAAATCTCAGGAGGGATTTTGTCCCACTCCTCTTTGCAGATCTTCTCCAAGTCATTAAGATTTTGAGGCTGACGTTTGGCAACTCGAACCCTCAGCTCCCTCCACAGATTGTCTATGGGATTAAGGTCTGGAGACTGGCTAGGCCACTCCAGGACCTTAATGTGCTTCTTCTTGAGCCACTCCTTTGTTGCCTTGGCCGTGTGTTTTGGGTCATTGTCATGCTGGAATACCCATCCACGACCCATTTTCAATGCCCTGGCAGAGGGAAGGAGGTTCTCACCCAAGATTTGACAGTACATGGCCCCGTCCATCGTCCCTTTGATGCGGTGAAGTTGTCCTGTACCCTTAGCAGAAAAACACTCCCAAAGCATAATGTTTCCACCTCCATGTTTGATGGTGGGGATGGTGTTCTTGGGGTCATAGGCAGCATTCCTCCTCCTCCTCCAAACACGGCGAGTTGAGTTGATGCCAAAGAGCTCGATTTTGGTCTCATCTGACCACAACACTTTCACCCAGTTCTTCTCCGAATCATTCAGATGTTCATTGGCAAACTTCAGACGGGCCTGTATATGTGCTTTCTTGAGCAGGGGAACCTTGCGGGCGCTGCAGGATTTCAGTCCTTCACGGCATAGTGTGTTACCAATTGTTTTCTTGGTGACTATGGTCCCAGCTGCCTTGAGATCATTGACAAGATCCTCCCGTGTAGTAAGGGCTGATTCCTTACCGTTCTCTTGATCATTGCAACTCCACGAGGTGAGCTCTTGCATGGAGCCCCAGGCCGAGGGAGATTGACAGTTCTTTTGTGTTTCTTCCATTTGCGAATAATCGCACCAACTGTTGTCACCTTCTCACCAAGCTCCCTTTAAGAGTGTGCTCCTAATCTCAGCTCGTTACCTGTATAAAAGACAACTGGGAGCCAGAAATCATTCTGAATGAGAGGGGGTCAAATACTTATTTCCCTCATTAAAATGCAAATAATTTATAACATTTTTGACATGCATTTTTTCTGGATTTTGTTGTTGTTATTCTGTCTCTCACTGTTCAAATAAACCTACCATTAAAATTATAGACTGATCATTTCTTTGTCAGTGGGCAAACGTACAAAATCAGCAGGGGATCAAATACTTTTTTCCCTCACTGTACAGTTGAAGTCGGAAGTTTTCATACACCTTAGCCAAATACATTTAAACTCAGTTTTTCACAATTCCTGACATTTAACCCTAGTAAACATTCCCTGTCTTAGGTCAGTTAGGATCACCACTTTATTTTAAGAATGTGAAATTTCAGAATAATAGTAGAGAGAATGACTTATTTCAGCTTTTTTTTCTTTCATCACATTTCCAGTGGGTCAGAAGTTACACTCAATTAGTATTTGGTAGCATTGCCTTTAAATTGTTTAACTTGGGTCAAATGTTTCAGGTAGCCTTACACAAGCTTCCCACAATAAGTTGGGTGAATTTTGGCCCATTCCTCCTGACAAAGCTGGTGTAACTGAGTCAGGTTTGTAGGCCTCCTTGCTCGCACACGCTTTTTCAGTTCTGCCCACACATTTTCTATAGGACTGAGGTCAGGGCTTTGTTTGATGCTAAGCTACAGGACTGTTTTGCTAACACAGACTGGAACATGTTCCGGGATTCTTCAGATAGTATTGAGGAGTACACCACATCAGTCACTGGCTTCATCAATAAGTGCATCGATGATGTCGTCCCCACAGTGACCGTACGTACATACCCCAACCAGAAGCCATGGATTACAGGAAACATCTGCACTGAGCTAAAGGGTAGAGCTGCCGCTTTCAAGGAGCGGGACTCTAACCCGGACGCTTATAAGAAATCCTGCTATGCCCTCCGACGAACCATCAAACAGGCAAAGAGTCAATACAGGACTAAGATTGAATCGTACTACACTGGCTCTGACTCTCGTCGGATGTGGCAGGGCTTGAAAACTATTACAGACTACAAAGGGAAGCACAGCCGCGAGCTGCCCAGTGACACAAGACTTCCAGACGAGCTAAACCACTTCTATGCTCGCTTCGAGGCAAGCAACACTGAAGCATGCATGAGAGCACCAGCTGTTCCGGATGAC